ACATTGTGATGTGTTCAGGTGTGATGATATACATATCAAGTTCAATTAAGACTGGTTCAGCCTTTCAAAAGTTGATTGGGGATACACAGACAGCATGGAACAGCATAAACCAACTTCCAATTTTTTTCTTCAAATTAAGGGCAATAGGCTAAAAATAAGTCATGTTTGTTAAAAATGACTAGCCATTATCAGTTTAAGTTTATTAAATGTACTTTTTTGTAAGTACATGAACAGGAAGAAGGCCATTATTTTCTACTGCTGGTTATGGAGAATATGTTGTGTAGTTGGACGCATGTCCATCTATAGATGTTGCGTAATGTGTGGACATGCCGCTATGGACAACCTGTGTTCAGCATACAAGTTATATTTAAATAAGTCCCTTGTACTGCGGCCACTTCTGACCTATTGTACCAGCCCCAGATGATAGGTGAGGGTGATTGTGGAGCAATTGCTGGAATGAAGATTGGCAGGGGAACCCGAAGTACTCGGAGAAAACCTGCCCCAGCACCACTTTGTCCACCACAAATCCCACTTGAGCGTACCCCGGGATCGAACCTGGGCCCCCGCGGTGGAAAGCCAGCGACTAACCGCTTGAGCTATGGAGCGTCCCTAAAGTCCACCTTACTTAGGTCTTAAATAGAATATTTTATTTACATCACAAACAGTAAATTTGGTGTAATTTTATATGACATCTATTCATAACATTTGTCGGCAATTTTGAGCTTTAACCATATTGAAAGGCTACAAATCCTACTTTACATAAGGACATAAACTGGTCTTTCTATATATCTCACAGACTGCTTCATACATTTTGTTGAAATTTTATATTATGTATTATTATTCTGATTGAAACACGAATATTGCTCGTTATATCTAATACGCTTGTGAGTCGTAATAACCCCGTCGGTATAGAGACGGGCTACGAGCTGAACAGCCAGGGTTCAATTCTCGGAAGGGGCCCACAGAGTCCAGAACGGCTCTGGGGCCCAACCGAATTCCTACGCAATGGGTACCAGGGGTTGTTTCTCCGGGGATGAAACGACAGCGGCGTAAAGCTGACCACTCACCTCCATTTAGTGCCGACGTCAAGAATGGTGGAGGTATACCTCCACTCGCTCATACATTTTCATGGCGTGGTGCTTAATTAATGAAACACAGGGACAATTTCATCTATACGTTTTTATATCTAATACATTTTGCGCTGTAATGAAATACCATCTACGAATTTGCAGCAAGCAGCTTAGGTAGAAGAGTGAGGAGGGGAAAATATGGGAAGGTAGAAAGCACCGTTTGGAATTATGGAGCACAGCTGTTGTAGTTCCGATAGCGCTTGAGATATAAACCCGTTCTCTGTATGCAACCCATACCACTACTGCCATACTTCATCACCGCGAGTTAATCTGGTCCTTGAGTGCATCAGCACTCATTTCTGAGTTCCCAAGCAATGTTATGTAATTTACTGATGTCATGGCCAGATTTGCTGTTGTGGGGGCCTCGGGCCAATAAAAGTTTATTGAGGCCCGTATTATTTACTTACTTACTTACTTACTTACTCATGGAGCTGAGCCCTTCTGGAGGAGCCGCCAATTGTACAGCTACTCAAGAATTTCCCAGCATTTTATGGAACCCAAAGGTTCATTACCGTGTTTACAAGAGCCCTCCACTGGTCCCTATCCTGAGCCAGATCTATTCAATCCATCCCATCCTATCTCTCTAAGATTCATTCTAATATTATCCACCCACCTACGCCTTGGTCGTCCCAGTGATCTCTTTCCTTCTGGCTTTCCCTCCAATATCCTATACGCTTTCCTCGTCTCAAAAATTCGTGCTACATGACCTGCCCACCTCACCCTCCTTGACTTGATCATTCTAATTATACTTGGAGAAGAGTACAAGCTATGAAGCCCCTCATTATGCAGTTTTCTCCAACCTCCTGTCACTTCATCTCTCTTCGGTCCAAATATTCTCCTCAACACTCTGTTCTCAAACACCCTCAGTCTATGTTCCTCCCTTAATGTCAGAGACCAAGTTTCACACCCATACAGAACCACAGGCAAAATTATAGTTTTGTATATTTTAATTTCTATGTTTTTGGACAGCAGACTATTACTAACAATAAATTTGGCTTGTGACGGTTCTCTCCCTTTTTCCTATTTCTTATAACACCAGTAACTGAAAAATACAGATTAATATTATGTGACTTTTGAGAACTGAATGTCTCAATGAAAGCTGTGGATTCCATTTCTGTTTTATAGAGGCCATGGGGGGAAAGCCCCTGACTACTTTCTTTTGAGTCGATGATAGAAGTGGCGGGTTACGGGTTGTGGAAAGGATCTTTGTGCGTGAAGTTATTTAACGATTCTGTGTGTACCAGCGAGTAAATACAGCGTGAATGAACTTCGATAAACATGAACAGAGAAGCTAGGAAGATGTGGAAGGAGCACCACTGTTATAGACCGATTGGCCGGGCACTTCGCCGAGTTTCGAATTGCGTTCTGTCCGAATATTCATTACAATCTTCCAAGAAGTCAACCTTTGGCACCTATCCTGCTAAGTATTAATCCACCGACACCTATTTATATTTTAAGATGCATTTTAACATTATACACCATCTATACATCAGCCGGGATAACCCAGTCGGTATTGTGACGGGCTACGAGCTTCATAGCAGGGGGTCGATTTCTGGCAGGGAAAAGATAATTGTCCATTTTCCACAGCGTCTAGACCAGTGCTGTCCAACGTTCTTATGTACTCGGGCACAATTCACTGATGCCTATGGAGGTGCGGGCACCACCACACACCACTACTACTAGTACTTCTACTACTACTACTACTACTACTACTACTACTACTACTACTACTAATAATAATAATAATAATAATAATAAACAATAATAATAATAATTTTCGAAAATATTTAACAGTACTCAGACGTTCAAAAATGTTTCTTGTCTTACAATTTGAATTAATATTAAAAATCGGCTCAATTATATGTGGTTACGGAGGGCGCCAGAAAAATATATCGCGGGAACCGCTTTGGACAGGGCTGGTCTAGACTGACTCTGGGACTCACCCAGCCTCATATCCAATAATTGCAATAATTACCAGGGGCTCTTTCATTGGGGGTAAAGCGGCAAGGACGTGAAGCTGACCGCTCACCTCCGTCTAGTGCCTTGGTCAAGAATGATGGAGCTAATCTCCGCTCGCCCATGCGTCTTCTTGGCGTGGAGCATAAGTAATTAAGTATAGGGTCAGCTTTACCTTGTACACAGTATGCCTATCTAGGCAGTGGTCTCGTAAGACATCTCATCCTTTCAAGGTCTCCCGACTGGAAATTTGTATGGTACTGCCACGCACGTCAGCAGAACGAGGGAACCCAATGAGAGCTGTTCACTCTTCAGTTGTGTCTATCAGGCATTCGGTTCCATTTATTGAGACGCACACGTCTGTGTGTTGTGAGCTTTTAATCCTCATATCCAACTTACCGTTAGATAAAGACAGCCATGTTCGTCTCTTCACAGTGTTGCAGCATGTAAAGGGGTCTGGAGATTTTGGCCTTGCCTGTGGACGGAAATAAATCATCAGCATCCCGCTCTTGTCACTTTTACCCTGTGAAACGAGCTTCTAGTTCTTAATTAATCAACACACCCTCAAGACGTATTGAGGAGTGGGGGTATAGTTCCATTTTATTTAACCTCGGCATTGGATGGAGGTGAGTTATGAAAGATTTGAGGTTTTCAAGGCGGTGACTACGAAGAAAGCCGTCTCCTGGGATGTGGCGCCGTGTAGATATTGTGTTAACCGACGTTCTTCCCAGAAGACGGCATTCATAGTGAGTTAACGAAATTCACGCTTCAAATCCATTTACTTCCGTAGAAGCCCCCACCCCCCGCCACGGTGCCCGTTATATTGGACGTTGGGTTAGTTCCAGACCCGGTCTCTCAGACAAACGACAGACCCGTCCTTTCGTCACAGAAGGCACCCTACGTGGAGATAACTATTTTTTTTATTGCTAGTGGGGTGGGACTAAGTACCTTGTACTGCGGCCACTTCTGGTCTATTGTACCAGCCCCTGATGATAGGTGAGGATGATTGTGGAGCAATCGGTGGAATGAAGATTGGCAGGGGAAACAGAAGTACTCGGAGAAAACCTGCCCCAGCGCCACTTTGTCCACCACAAATCCCACTTGACCAGACCCTGGATCGAACCCGGGCCGCCGCGGTGGGAAGCCAGCGACTAACATAAACTAACATGTGATAATGAGCCCCACAGACTGACTGCCTAACCGTCACTCGCAAATTGCGAGTCGCAATGTGACTTTGACTTTGTGACTCGGTCTTGGCGCCGTGTAGAAGAGGAACACAATGTTACAATCTGTGGGACCAGTGGAGGGCTCTTTTAAACACGGTAATGAACCTTCGGGTTCCATAAAGTTCTTGAGTAGCTACACAATTGGCGGCTTCTCAAGAAGAGCTCAGCTCCATTAGTGAGTGACTTGATTTTTAACATTATAACATAATTATAAATTATTAATGTATGTCATTTAAGTTAGACTTTCTTTGTTTTGGTTGGCGGGGGGGAGAAGAAATGTGTAGCGTGGTAATTAATTTCCGATTCAGCTGCCGATGCTGAGCGTAATATTAGTCCCGCTGAATATGGAAGATGACAGCACAATACAGACTAATGGTCGGCACCAATTTTTGTCAGGAGCCAAATTTCTGGCGTTGATGCGGTGATCCTTGGTATTTCCAGCCAATATATATATGCTACTAGCTATTAACTAATCTCTGTTTGCAGGTCACCATTGATCCGTCGTAGGTATTTTTGAATGTGGACGAGCAGTTTATCTACTTGCCAAATTGGCTAGTGGCTACACCAAGCACGTTGCATTTAAGTTTGTGTGAACTTGATTCATAGGTGGCAGAACATTAGGCAAGACGCAGTATTGCCAACCATTAGTGTTACGGTTAGGAATTGAGTTGGTTCAGTTGGATGGAACCGGATGGGACGATGTGACGGATGTGACCAGATGTGAGGGTTATGAGCGTTGTGAGCTATGGCGTCAAGTGAGGTAGATTTAATCAGTAATGTACTAAGCAGTGATGACTGTTCAAAAATACCGGAAGATATTCGGAAAAAGATAGAGTCTTATGTTAGAAGTACAGCAGAACAAAGCGTTGTAGCTAAAGCGTTATTGGAGACAACTAAGGGAAACTTCGGTAAGTAATTGTGAGGGGAGGCTGTAATTTGTGCCCTGGGGAGCAGAATGTTGCACAGTTATAGTAATTGTTTTAGAATTACTGCAGCAGCATGGTTATTCGTTCCTGTTAATTGTCGCTGCCCATGATTGGATATAGGACTTGGAGTTTTGTATTACAAGTATACCTACAGAGCACCAGCAGGAGAATTTGATCAGGTCTATAAATTAATCACATATACTGTATAAACCCGAAGCAGAATTTGCTGTTGTGTAGTGACATAACTACATTTTATCTTACTTAAAATGTTTCTACACACTGTATGTCACAAAGTCTCTTGTTAACATTTTAACTTGCCTGCAAAAATTCAGAATTACTCCAGTGCTGCTATTGATAATGCTGTTATTGGCAGTCCATGAAATGGGTGAAAAGTCGGCTATGATGATCACTCAGCAGTAGGTGGTAAAAACAAAAGCAATTTCCAATTATCACATTGCAGGTAACACATGATATTGTTAATGAATTTATGACATCTTACTAATAAGAACTGGGAGTCTTCATTAGGCAGAACATTTTATTATGAATTATCAAAAGAAGATAAGATCATGTAAAGAATACAACAAAAAGCAAAATTTTGTATAAAAGAAAAAAAAGTAAAGCAATCCCTGTACCAGGCTGTGAAGGCCCATGGTGTTGTGAGACGAGGGTCCCACAATATGTAGACAGTCGGCTCAAAGATGGCGGTAAAGTTGTCAGCCTTACGCGTCGGGAGGGGGAGCTGTACCTCCACTTCCCTACATGTCTTAATGGCATAGTGCTTAACTGATTAAGCACAGGGATAACTTCACTTTTTACTGGTATTATGTTCTGTGTCCTGGGTTTAGGTCTGTGAATAATGCATACAAAGCAATTCTAATTCTAAAATAAGGCCATTGATCTAATTTATGTTACTGTACTAAGTTAGGTTAATTTTCAGAATATTGCAGTAGTCACAATTGTAGGTTTGTATTTCACACATGCTGGTGACCAGAACACACAATTTATGTATCAGTCTTTTAACAGATACCGATTGTTTTAAATAATACATTTTTCGGATGTACGAGTATGCCCCTCACGGGCCATGTGATGCCGTATAACAATTCACGTGAACTGTCATGTATGCCTGATTATGGCCCTGAGTCACCGAAACATGTCATTGAATTTACACAAAAGCACTGACTAAATGGTGATTTGACCAATCAGCCATGAGGCTGGATTGAAGTATATTTGTGCGTGCATGCATGTGGGGGTTGCACATGCACATCAAGCACTAAGAATGTTTATTTATTGCTTTGCCTTCTTTTTTTAATTTCCAGAAGCAAGAATTATTACTGTTGAGAAGGAGCTTAGTGCAGTCAAAGAAGACAATGTCACTAAGACAGTCAAACTTGATTCCGCTGAAAGGGAATTGGAAGAGTTGCAAAAGAAAGCACAGTCATTGCAGGATGAGGTCGAGAAACTACGGAATTCAGTACAGAGGTAACTGCAGTATGAGTCTGACTAAATGCTGTTAATAGATCGAGTTCCATTGCCACAGGAAGCAGACCTTTGGTCTCAATTACAAAGGTCAACAACTTGTGTTGTTTAGAGAAGTAACTGCTGTTTATTGTGTGAATCACGTGGAAGACTTAACATGCATTTTGTGTGATAAATGCTGAGATTTTTAATGTAAAATAATTTGGTACTTACAGTAACCACTGTGCTAGGCCATGCCATAGCTTAAGCGGTTAGTCGTTGGCTTCCCACCACGGTGGCCCGGGTTCGATCCCGGGTCTGGTCAAGTGGAATTTGTGGTGGACAGAGTGGCACCGGGGCAGGTTTTCTCCGAGTACTTCGGTTTCCCCTACCAATCTTCATTCCACCAATTGCTCCACAATCACCCTCACCTATCATCTGGGGCTGGTACAATAGGCCAGAAGTGGCCGTAGTACAAGGGACTTAGTCCCACCCCACTAGCAATAAAAAAACACTGCTTTAGAGGGTAAATGTCATATTTATAATGCAAAGATTTCCATGTTAAATCAGATGGTAGTAACCTCCATGCTTTAGAGGCTAAATGGATTTATGTGAAATGACTGGAATGTTTACCTTCATTATATAAACGTTGTATGAGGGTACATCATACATTATGTAGGCAACAGCATTATGGAAGAAATGTCTTGTGTGTTCAGTGAGATCTTTGAATGGCGATTTTGTTCCTGTCATGTATTGAACATGGAATCTAGTAACTTTCTGATGATGACAATGATTTAGGTTACTGTCTGATGATGATGTCTGTTTTAGGCACTCACTATTGCTTAATTGAATAAATTTGTGTTATCAGATTATTTGACACAGAACTGAAACATTGTTAGATTTACATTTTGAGGGATTTCGGTGCAAAGAAAAATGCTTGGGTGATAATAAATGTAGAAGGGCTTCAAGAAGTGCATGTATTGAAAACCTATCGAAACACCAGATTAATTAGAACATTGCATTTAAAGAGACAGTGGAAGTGGAGGGGCATGAGCACAGTTATTATTATTATTGGTGTTATTGTTGTTGTTATTATTAATTTATTTTAACTGCAGTGGCAGTGGTACTACAGTAAGACACAACACACAAATAACACATCACACAAAATATCACACCACGCTTAAACAAGAAACAGCACACGAAACTACACAAATAATAAAGGACACACTATACACAATAAATACAATGCAAATACAATTACAACTACACTTGTATACATTAATAAAAAAATAAGTATGCTATACACTAAACAGTAACAGTAATGAAATATGTTATGTCATGAGCTGATGCACTCACATTTCACCATGGCCTTACCTTCATTCCACTTTGCCACACTTACGTACCCTTTGCATCTTTACCACAATTTACTTCCCTTCATGTCCACTTCACTTTGCTGCAATTTTTGTTGATTTCCCCCACACCTTCACTTCACCTTAATTACCACCTTCCTAACCCTTTTCCAAAAATTATTTTGTTTACAGGAGAGAGTCCCTAGAGCACCTGCATGTAGTTATTATGTCTCCCTTCATATTTTGTTCTTGTAAGTTATGGATGGAGAGCTCTGAATAAGTGGTTGCTAACATTAACTTCATAAATATAGTTAATATAATTTTAATTAAGAATGTAAGTAGAGGGAGTGATCATTAAACTTTTAGTGATCCCGTTTCTTTATTTTTTGTACATATTCTCTAGTCTTCATGTGTATACATACTCTGATGCATTCACTGCTTTGCCTGCTGTAACACAGTAAAGCTTTATGCTTAAATTTAATTTGTCTGGGTGCTGGGAGGAAGTTACAAAATATAATATCTCAGAAGCGTCATTTACTATGAGGACATCCCACCACGGTGTCCCGAGTTCAATCCCGGCTCTGGTCAAGTGGGATATGTGGTGGACAAAGTGGCGCTGGGGCAGGTTTTCTCAGAGTACTTATGTTCCCCTGCCAATCTTCATTCTACCAATTGCTCCACAATCACCCTCACCTATCATCTGGGACTGGTACAATAGGACAGAATCAGGCACAGTACAAGGGACTTTGTCCCACGCCACTAGCAATAAAAAAATAATAATATATGGACTTTCTGAGGAGCACACATGAAATATTGTGCGCTGTTCATTCCTTGGGAGCATTGCTGCAAAATATAAGACACATGTTTTGGAAAGCTTTAAAGTAGCAGCAGTTAAGACTGTTTTGTCTAACAGGAGACTTTTTAATTTGAATTTGATAAAGCTTTTTATTATTTTGTTGGCCATGCTTGTGAACACAGTTTTCTGTTTACTGTTGGTACAGATTGCAATCACCCGCTCTATGTGTCACCATAATCACCTTAGACACACATTACATTTTATTGCAAATACTTCTACTCTTAATAGGCTAGAACAGGAGAACATAGATTTCCGCCGACAACGTGACAGTGCAGTAGATGAACGTGACAGCCTCCAGAAGATGGTTGACAGGCGAAATACAGAGCTGCAGCATATGCAGGATGATGTCAGAATGCTGAACAGTCAGCTGAAATCTGCCATTGATGCCAAATGTGAAGCCATCGCCAAATATGAAGGAGTCCAGAGTCTTGAGGTTTCCCTTGAGTACAAGTAAGAAAATAATATTTTGTTCTTTAAAGCTGGTTGTAATGTTATTCGTATAACTGGCAGTTTCTAATAGTACTGGGATCTATTTTATAGTAACAGGGTACTTTCACAGCGAATATGCTATAGATTAATTGACCAGGGTTTGATTCATGGCAATGGCAGGGATTCGTATCTTTGCTGCCAATCCCAACTGTCTTTTGGGCCCACCCAACCTATCTGGTGGCTCTTTCCGCAGGGGTAAAGCGGCTGGGGCGTGAAGCTGACCACTCACCTCCACTTGCTTGGAAAGTTATGAATGTATAGAGCTGAACACCATCTCCATCACACAGGTTTGTGGTATGGTGGCTAATTAAGTACAGAGATGGCTGAGCTTTTACTCAGAATTATTCTGTTAAGGTAAAGTTGTCCCTGTACTTAATTAATTAAGCATTATGCCATAACACATGGGAGAGTGGAGGTGTAGTTCCATCATTCTTAACCTCAACACTAGATAGAGGTGAGTGGTCAGATTCATGCCCTGGCTGCTTTATCCCTGGAGAAATTGCGCACAGTGTCCATTGGGTACGAGGCTGGGGGAAGGGGGGCAAGAGCCAGCCTGGTTGCTATGCAGAAGAGAAAATCTTGCCCCTGCTGGGAATCGAACTCATATTTCTCCTTTATCCAGCCCATAGCCTGTTACTATACCGACAGATATATCCCAACTCCTGAATATTCCATTACTCTAGGACAGGCATGTCCAACTTCACACAGGTTGTGATCGACTTTTTAGTGTCAAAACTGCTAGTGATCTACCACCCCCTTGTATCGTTGTACCACGCTTTAAGCAAAAATATTGGTAAAAATAACACGACAAATGATGTTTGTTGTAAAAACAACACGCATTGAAAGTACAGACTACTTTAATACGTATTTTCCCTTCAAAATCTCAGTATTCATATTATATTACAAGTGAATTTACATGCTTTTCACGTATAATTTCCCTATAAGCCTATGAGATCGACCAAAAATCGTCCCACCATCGACCGGTCGATCGTGATCGACGCATTGGACATGCCTGCTCTAGGATAACAACAGAATAGACCTACATTTAACGTTGGTTCAGGATTCTGGTGGGGCCCTTGGATTCCCGTCATTCACAAGTTTTGAATAATGTTTGCATTGTGTTAGAATGCTGCGTCCTGTAATGTAATTGACATATTTTACACCATAAATTGGAGTGGCGAATAGTAAATTGCTTAATGAACTTTTTAACCATGATTTATGCTGTCTTACAGTGCACACACTTTTTCACCTTACTCTTCTCTTTTGCACTACATGTTTCAGCACTAATGTGCCATCTTCAGGTGCATTTTCTCTATGCATGTCTAACTACTGCATTGCATGCCCTGATGTCTTCATACTAAAATGACTAAAATATATATTCATCATGTATAATAATAGATTTTAAATATTAAAACTTTTCAGTATTCGTCATCCTTACATCGTATCTCAATACGCGAATCATGCCAATCCTCCTCTGTGGGAGCACTCTTCCTACATTCATGTGTGTATTGTGCTCTTTGTTGGGTCTTGCTCCTGTGACTGCGTGCGTTATACTTTTTAATTTGTATTCCTCTGCAGTTAGTAGGATTGTCAGTGAAGGAAAATGAGATGAGTGGGGAAAATACAAAGTTTTGGTCAGAAACCCTGAAAGAAAGAGACCAGTTGGTAGATCTAGGGCTAGGTAGGTAAAGTCCCTGTGCTTAACTAATTAAACACTACACCATGATATACTTATATGGGAATGGATTTATAGATGCACATATGCTTCACCTTGGCACTAGTTGGAGGTGAGTGATCAGGTTTGCACCCTTCCTGGTTTGCCCCTGGGGAAAGAGCCCAGTTACCCATTGGATAGGAGGCTGGGTGGGCCCCAGAACTGGTCTGAATGACTTCAATAGGAGAAAAATCTTGCCCTTACCAGGACTTGAACTCCAACTCCATGGCTGTACCAGCCCATAGGCAATTGCTATACCAACTGTGCTGTTCCAGCTCCCTCAGGCATAGGTGAATAATATTAATATGCATCTCAAAGAAATTGAGTGGGAGGATGTGGACTGGCTCAAGGCTCAGAGATCAGTGGCAGGCTATATTGAACATGGTATTGAACCTTTTTGTTCAGTAAAGTTCTCCAGATTTCTTGACAGTCTTTACAAGTATTGGCTTCTCAAGAAGGGCTCTGCTCCATTTAACAGATAGTAAATAGAATCCATGGAAATATGGGACAGATGAGAATTGTGCTTTAGTTCTCTATTTATGCAGCTGTTGGTGTGTCATTTGTGTTATCTGTGTGAGTAATCAGCAAAGCTGGAACTTTTTATAACATACATAATTGTGAACAGTATCTTAATCTTGGTACTTTATATGTATCTGTTTTCAACTCAGAATTCTGCATGTCCGTTATGAATATTTTGTCATTGCCCATTGAAATTTCAGTGGAAAGTTGTTAATATGAACTTTATAAAAAATACACAACCTCACTAAATTGAAATCGGACAGTTACATTTATAAGAAGATATTAAATTTGATGGAATAACAGTATGTACTAAAGAGTGATGCAGTTTAGAGGAAGTGTTTTTGTCAGAAGTCGCTTATGAAAACAAACTGCCAGAAATACCTCACCTCTCATTTTCTTCAGCTGGCAACATATCATTACAATAGCCATTTTCTAGTTCACCACTAAACAAGAGATACATTTCTTTCAATCTCAGATTAACCAGCTATAAGAGTGGTTGAGTGATTTCACTTCCAATGTAGCATGTAAATACTGACAGACAATTAAAGAATTCACAAATAACTGTTATTTTGAATTAACACCCAACACTTGACTTTTTCCCATTAACATATTTTAATTTCCTGTTGTATTAATATGCAGACACACATTGTAAAGTACAATGCAAAATGCAACAAAATTGGAGAACTTTTTTTAATAATTGTATGCATACTCAGCAGCTTTTTCTCTTAATACATTGTACAGACCTTCATTCTCCAGTAGTACTGCAAGCTTCAAAGTAAGTAAGTCCCATCTCTGGCTATTCTGTCCACAAATAAACCTTCCGGTATGCATTAAATCATGATATGGAATATGCGTGCTACCAGCAATGGAAATTTGTTTTTTGCAAATGTCAGTGCTTACTGAAGTATAGCATATCTGTCTCTGATGCCTGGCAGTCAAGTCTATAATTGCCACTACAGCAACTTCTACAATATTGGGGGATGAACCAGGACATCCAAACAAACCTTGTAAGATCTCCTAGAGGCCTATTTTGGTTGAAGTATATGAATCACTTTCTGTGTTGAAGTACTGACAGAGAAATTACTATCTGATGATCATGTCATGTTTTCTTTGTAAGTATATAAAGGGATATGTTAAGATTTTTTATCTTTTCATGAAGGGAGAAACGGTTGAATCAAGAGCAAGACCAACTCAGGAAACAGGTCCAGAACCTTACCGAAGATTTGGACAAGCATACAGCTGAGCTTATGAATATGAGGAGAGAACATACGAATAAGCATCTTCTACTGCAGTCTCAGCTGTCACAAATCACTGAGGAGGTAAGCAGTGACTTGTAACTTCATCCCTGCTTCCATGTATTGAGTTCAGTTGCAGTTAGTTGCTAGACTGACCAGTAAGAGGACTAAGTGAATGGTCAGCTCATTTCTGAGTATGTGTCAGTGTGACAAGCACTGACATTGCTTGTTTTATTTTTATTTAGTGTTAATATACTTCAGCTGGGAGAATTGCGGCAGGGTGCATGAATTTGATTTATTCTTATTCGTTGCCATGGGAATGCAAGGTGCATTACAGATGCAGGTAAATACAAAATGATAACATGCATCGCAACCGTCCTACCCAACGGCTTGCGATGTAGGCAGCCTTACTTTACCAGCCCGCCAGATACCAAACCAAATTTTGAAGTAATCCAGCTGAAACAGAATTTCCAACAACAATCCCTGCTAGCTGGTAATCGTCTTCTCTGGTCAGCGTCGTCCGACAGACTGCACAATAAGTCTCTCCTCGTTCCGAGAATAGGAGGTGGGATTTGGTCACGTGACGAGGGTAGTACGTCAACATTATTAGGGGTGGGGATGGAATCCAGGAATGGCAGCCGCCATGACGTAACGCCGAGAGCGAACTGACCTTCAGCATGGCTCAACTGTGCAGAACAATGCTTAAAAACTGGCAGTGGTTAACCATTCAGCACTGTCTGACATACATAGCATGCCAGTATCTGAATAACAAATTTCAGGAATTGTATTTCCCCCAACCAGGACATTTCAGTTGATGGATCATTAATGCTTTGGAAAGGCCTTGTGTCGTTCAAACAGTACCTGCCTCTCAAAACATCCACAGTTGTAATGAAAACTTATGGGCTCTGTGACGCTACCATGGGGTATTTATGGTCCTGCCCTGTCTTTATACAAGCAAGGATATAAAACATGACCTTCCTTTGATCACAGCTGAAACCAGTAAATCAACGACCAGTGTTCTGAAATTGGTAGAACCTCTGCTGAAACACGGCTCGATTGTGTGGGTGGATGATTTCTATAATTCACCATCTCTAACCAAGACACTGAAAATCGTACTCAAGACAGACTGTGTTGGTACACTGAAATTGACCTGAAAGAATGTTCCTATAAAGGTTAAAAACACGAAACTAAAAAAGAGGTTACCTGTGTGGAGGCAGGGTCAAATACCTCTACAGTGACCCTGTGAGTTGTAGGAGGCGACGGAAAGGAAAGTCTCAAATCTGAGACAGTAAAATATGTTTGCGAGTCTCAAGGGACTGGGACCTGAGAAAGGCTGCGCTGGCAAGGTCCAGCAGCATGTACAAATGACAGACCCATCCACTCATCAGAGAAGGGCCCCCCCCACCAAAAACAAGACCGTAGCTGTCAAACAGTAATAAATATCTGGTCATAAGCCCCAAATGGGGTTCGAAACCAAGACTTACTGACTGACTGACTGACTGACCGACCGACCGACTGTCAGTCACAATGTGACTTTGACTTTGACTAAAAAGAGGTGAAATCGTAGCACAGCATTCTAGACCTGTTTCTGTCACAGGATTTCCTGTTCAGGCTTAAAAGAACTATTTTCAACAGCTGAAGCTCTGTGAACACAGTAAGGAATTGGAGGGAGATCTCAAATATTCTAGGTTGTTAATGTCTGCAGCTATTAAAATAAAACTTACTTGTCCAACCTTATATTTCAGAAATAAATTGTATCTGCATAAAGCACAATGTGTGTAATCTTCCTAGCACTCACAGTGCACTAGATACCTTCTTTACCTCATATATTTGAAGTTTGTGTAGACTGTTACATGTGACTTTCCTATCTGCAAGGATATGTTGTGTTGTACTCATGTGTACCTTTAAACAAAACCATATTTGGGGGGGGGGACTCTAGTTCGTGTTTGCCATCATGAACTGACAGTTGTGGTGCCTGGATTGGTGTGGAACGCACCCTAGTCATTCAACCTGTCAAGGTGCGCAGTTGCCCTGCTTCCCCCAAATGTCCAAAAACTTACTGCAGATGTGGGGAATTTGGAAAAGAGTTGAATGCAGTAGTAGACCAGAAAAAATGCTTGAAGTTTTATAAGAGCCCCTTGGGTTTGCAAGCATCTTCAGTTGTCTGTGGTCACTCATCATCCAGATATGAATTTGCTGTTCCAGTTCATCTTGCAGTAGCAGGTTTTACATTGTGAAGTTTCACTTCTTCCAGATGCTTCAAGTTCATTTTCTTTTTTCACTATACTAGAACTCGCTGGTTAAGCTTTTACAGCATTCCTCAGGGGAACAGCGGAGGAGGCATGTGGCCTTGAGCATCACCACACACTAAAATGTTCAGAACATGACAATATTCACATCCTTATTATTCAAATTGAATTATTTATATACGACTTTTTTTCTTTTCTTTTTGTTTCTTAACTATGGAAGCAATGCTTCCCTTACTTCCATGCACGGCACGCAACTTATGGAGGGTGCTCTACAGACAAGTCCTACCTGTTCAGCTCATTGGTATGCAGTGTTGCTTGGCATTTCTGATCACAGCGTAAAGAGGATTTTACATGAAGATTTCCACTACCATCTGTATAAGATTCAGATAGTGCAGGCACTGAAGGATGTTTACCATGCAAACCAACTTGCTTTCTGTCAACAATTATTGAACATGACAAATGAAAATCCAGATCTTGTAAACAGTCTTTTGATGAGTGATGAGGCTCATTTCCACCTTTTGGGCTTTGTCAAAGTGCAAAACTTTTGCTATTGGTCAAGTGAAAACCCTCAAACCCTCCATGAAAAACCGCTCCACAGTGTGAAAGTGACAGTCTGGTGTGCCATCTCATTGTTTGGAATTTTATGACCTTATTTATTTGAGGATGGCAACGGGCATATAGTTACAGTGAATTCACAATGCTATACAATTTGTTATTGGATTCCGTCGTAACACAACAGCATAATGGTCATGGTTACTATTACCTTAGCAACATGTTTTGGCTTTGTTGTGTTACGCTGGACTCCAGTAAAGAACTGTATATAATAACACAACAGGATGCACGAAATGAAAATGAAAATGCTATGTTAGCATATTCGTAAACTTTTTTGGGCCCAATTAGCTCGTCATCCTGTTAATGAGAACACATTTTTTCAACAAGATTGTGCTACAAGCCACACCTCAAGGGTTTCCATGAATGTTGTGAGGAAGTTCTTTCCTAATCTTTGCATCTTGAAGAATGGGGATATACCATGGCCTGCCAGATCACCCGATCTATCTGCGTGTGATTTCTTCCTTTGGGGGTACTTAAAATCATGCATCTTTCAACCACCATCCCCATGCAACATCCAGAAGCTTAAAGAATGGATCCGGGAAGGGGTGGCTCGAATTCCTGTGGCTGCACAAAGTGATGAGTAACCTACGCACAAGACTGATGGTGTGTGTGAACCGAAATGGAAATCATCTTTGTGATGCTATTATTTTGTAGGATTTTATTTTCATTTAGTGTGTGTTAAATTAGTAAAGTAATACATTTTACTTCCTTATGGTGTATTCATAATCACCCGATTCATTGCCGCACCCTGTATTTTGAAATTTACAGCTATCATGAATGAACCTGTCCTATGCAGACTTCTTACCTTCCACATACCAAATCTCATATTCATTTTATGTCATTTCAAGAATCTGTTCCAAGTCCCAGACCCTTTGTGATATTTGTAATAGATTTATTTTAATGGTGAGGAGTTGTCATTCTGCTAAAATTGAGGCACTCTGAACATAACCAGCTTGGAGATGCATGTATGAATATGCATATAGGAAAGAAATTGAAAGGTTGATAATTTTTTTAATTTTTTCACTTCTTAAAATTTGTTAATTTTACCAGTTCATTTTAACCAACCTGTGCATTTTACTTCAGCTTCATATTGCTAACCAGTCGAATGAGGAGCTGAAATCTACAAATGCCACGCTGGTTGGGAAATTGGAAACTGCGATGCAGAAACTGGTATCGCAGAGAGAAAGTGAAAGCAAGATGCGGGACACTTATGAACAGGAACTTACGGCACAGACGCGTCTAGCACAGATTTATAAAGGTCAGTTCCAAGAACACATTCAGTTACAAACATGGCCTTTGTTATTGCAGGTAACTCCAGAGTCTATCTCAAAATGAGTGATTTATCAAGCATACTGATTAAATAATTATGGTAAACTAAAGGTGGGGTAATGGCATACCTTAGCAATTAATTGCTGCTGGCCCATACCTACACTGTTATTCTTGGCCTCTGTCAAGACCCATGACCAAATTTTGTTCGTGTATGTTTGGAAATAAGGTATCCTCTTCGACAAGAGGAGGGGTGGGTCTTTCTGGGTAGACATACCTGTACATTTGTGGCTCCATAATTCAGCATGAATGTACTCAACAGTCACACAACATCCTAAGGACACTTGTACTTTATGGACACGATGTGAATTTGTCACTTTACCATAATGAATAACTTATATGTAAGATGTTCTGATGACCTTTGTCAGTGCAGGCTTGTGCAACAGGTTAGGCGTCCCCCCCCTACACACACGCTCTGATGTAGCATTTAGTTACTAAAATAGTCTTATGCCTGACAGCCACCAAGTTTAAGCCTCATATGCTTCCTGTGCATGGCTTCATCTTGTCAGGTTGCACATACATTTGGATTTAGATGATTTTGGACAACTTATGCTTGTTTTCAGCAAAATTTAGTTTTACACATAATGAATTTTGAAGGCCACTTGTAGTTCATGGACCTGTGTGTGCTGGTCAAGGTTGCCAATAGCACAGAGAACTTGGTTCTGCAGGTGCTGAAATTTTAAGAGCTGTGATAATGAAGTTAAAAGTGGTGTTATATCTTCCGTAGAGCAAAAGAAGGAAAGTGATATAATTGGAAGAAGTTTAAGCAAGGGTGCTTTGAAATCACTTAATTTATAAAAAATATGGTTTTCTGGAATGTGACACAGAGTAGTTCTTCCAGGATACTGTTAACCATATATTAGACTTCAGGGTAGAAGAAGTCTTCTGCTCTGAGGGTGGAGGCAGCAGGTTCCTCCAAAATGTTGGTAACCATCACCAGACTACACAATGTCAGATCCCAGAAGACTTTAACTGTATCTGCATGACATTCCCTTGATGGTGCATGAGTGAGTCCAGTAGCCTTAATGTCACGCTGTTTTGAACATTAATAAGATTAATCCTCACTTATAGACAGTGTCACGTAACTTCGAACAAGGCCCCGCATTCCTAGTCAAATCCCACACATAGCTTGTGGTGGGAGGAGTTTCTTAACACTCGTTCTTCAACTTTCACCGACCCCTCACTTGTCATTGAAACTACCCTATTCACTTTTCAAAGAACACATTACAATAATACAAATATATTGTCAGTCGTCGTGCAAAGAAAAATACATTCAATGTGTATTACTAATTTATACTTTATAATTTGTACCTATACCCTGACCTAATTTCTTATTCATTATGTACTATTTAGTGCACAAGGAAACTGACGTTTTTAAACAGATGATAGAAAAACCGTAAGCATAACCTGTTTCGAGGGTGCCTTACAAACAGACCGCCTGTCACTTCACACACCCTTGAACCCACCCCCTTGTTTGAAATTTTTCTTCTGTGCATTCAAGGTTACTCTTGGCCTTGTTCGAAGTTACGTGACACTTACTATAACTGTTAGCACTGTAAAGATGGGAGATTTTAATCCACTATATCAGTACAATAAAAATTAATATTTACTGCTGTGAAAACCTGAGATCTCATACTGTGGTCAGTTTATTTCGCATTTTGTAATTTCTTAAGTTTTATGTTCATATTGCTCTTGAACATGAAGGCTTATCATCATCAGAAACGTAACATACTGTTTAAATTTTTAGTTATATTGAAACAGGGGACTTTGGAAAACATGCTGTAGGTGGGAGGTTAATATTAAAAGTAATTTTGTAGACAGCTTATGAACATGCGAATGGGGTGGAAGTGGTTGGGATAGGATGCAGATAGAATGATGGCAGTGAACCAGCTGGTTCATAACAACATGTCTCGCTGAGTGACCATTTATTGTTCAAGCAAAATTGTACTGTACATTTCTACAGCATTTAATGCTTTATGTCACTGTTGAATTTTTGACAGTGACCTGGGAAATATTTTTGTACCATAATTTTACTTTAATAAATTCACAATTTAATACATTAATATGTTTCTCCGTGTTTAGGAATGAGTGATGATGCTTCATCCAAATCACAGGAACTTTCGAATGCTGTGAAAGAATTACAGGAATTGTTACAAAGTGCTTCTAAACAGTATGGAGATCTTGAAACTGAGATGAAGAGAAAGGAGATGTTACACGAAGCAGAACTGGCAAAGAAAACGGAGTGTATTGCCCTTCTGAAGAAGGAATTGGCAGATGCAAATGAACTACTGAAAGCAGCAAAGCAGGAGACGTTAGATGCTGCTATTGAGAGTCTGTCACCATCAGCTGCTGCTGCTAGCCGCCTCATCAAGTCAGGCATGACACTGACACAGATTTATAGTCAGTATGTAGCAGTTTCAGAAGAGCTCTTTTCCCAGAAGGAAGAAACGCAGAAATTAAACCTGTATATAACCACTATCATGGAAGAAATTGAGGAGAAAGCACCAATTCTTAAGAAGCAGCGTGAGGACTATGAACATGCTCTTGAAAATGTGGCCACACTTACCAAACAGATTGACGAATATATCATTGAATGTAATAAGCTGCGTCATGAAGCTTCTGAAGCTCAGAAGGCTGAGGCTCACCACAGCCGAGAAAATGCACGTCTCAAACAGGAAGTGGTCGATTTGGCAAAGCAAGTGTGCTTCCTGCTTAAAGAAGTTGAAATGGCTCGAACTGGTTTCAGTGCTGGACAGAGTCACATGGAAGAGTCTTCGTCAGACATTACTAGCTCTTCCCAAGTCATTTCACAGGCACTTGTAACTTTTGGCAGCATTGAAGAACTTCAGACTAATAATCAGAAGTTGTTAATGCTGGTGAGAGAACTGAGCTCGAAGGAAGAAGAAGCAGAGCTCCTTCAGGCTGAGCTTAACCCAGAACAAATTCATGATAAAATAGAGCAGTATGCTAAGAGAGTAAAGGAATTGGAAGAGAACAATGAACAGCATACAAAAATGATGGAAACTTTGCTTAGACAGCGGGACATGTATAGGACACTTTATGAACAGCAGCTGAAAGGGGGAAGTAGTCCAATGAAGTTGCCAGAGCAGGTGTCTCCAAAGTCATATAAAGGACTTTCACTTAACCAAGGAACAGTTCTTCAGGAAAAGGAAAACGTGATTCAGGAATTAAAAGCTAAACTAAATGAATCTCAGAAAGCTTTTAAGGAGCTTAAAGAAGAAATGGTTGTATATCGAACAGAACGTCAGACCAATGAACGAATTTTGACTGAAGAATTAGATACCATGAGATCTGAGCTCAGAGAACTTCGTACCAATAATTGTAAGCTACTTTCTCAGGCTGAATACAATGAAGAAAGGTTTAAAATTCTCAATGCTAATACAGGTATTTACAAATCACAAATTACTGCACTGGAAGAGAAAAACAAAACCTACAGCTCAACTGTAGTGAAGCATGAACAGACTATCATGCATCTTAAAGATGAAGCGTTAGATGCTCAGGCCAAACTCTCCAAAGCTGAAGTGAGTTTGGAAAATCTGAAGAGAAAGTGTCAGTTGTTGCAGGAGACAGAAGCTCGTCTCTTGAAAGAAAGAGAAGTACTGAATCGTGAAAAGCAGAGCCAGGGAATATTATTAGCAAACTTGGAATCCATTCGTACCAGTTTAGAACGATCAGAAACAGAAGGAAAGTTGCGGCTGGAGGCACGGCTTGATGAATCAATGAGGGAATGTGGTGCACTTAGGAGGAGGTTACAGGAGGAACAAGATCGTTTCCGTGAATTGTCTTCCCACAATGAGCGTCAGTTGGAAGCTGCTAAGAAACGTCAAGAAGAAGAGGCAAGATTGGGGGCACAAACCAGAGATGATCTTAACTTGGTTAGAGAAGAGCTGGTTAAGGAAAAGAAAATGGTGGAGTCATTGACCAAGAGGATCAAAGAGATAGCAGCACCACCTCCTAGTCAGAAGACTCCTACCGAAGCCGAGGTCATGGCAAAGAAGCTAAAAGAAATTGAAACTCAGTTGAATCGGAGTCAGAGTGAGTTGAAATTGACACAACAGCAGCTAGCATCTTCAAAACAGCATGCCAAACAGTACTCTGAGGTGTCTGAGGGGACAGAGAAGCAGCTGAAGGAAGTTACAGCAAAGTTTGATCAATATAAGGAGGCTACAGAGAAAAAACTAGCAGACTGCAGGAACAGTGAAGAGCAGTTGAAGAAGCAAGTAGCAGATTTAAGTTCTCAGCTTTCGAAACTGTCGACTGGTACAAGTCATTCAACAGCTGAACTAAATGATCAGCTGGACAAGATGCAAAAGGAGTTGACATCAGCACTTTCTGATCTTGAGCAGACCAAGAAAGACCTGGTTCAAGCTCGGTCTGATCTTGTGTCACTTTCAGGAAATGTACAAGCTGCTGAAGAGAAATATGCGCATGAGGTGAGTCTCCATTGTGACATGTAATGAAAGATTTGTCTGTGAGGAGAAACTGTTGTATTGTGTTATCCTAGGGTGTCATTGTCTTCAGACCCAGTCGAGGGAGATTGTAAGGCAAAATTATGAAAGGAAGGCTCATCCCAATATCTTCACCAGGGAGTTGCTTGTTCCTATGGCTATAAAAAAAAATAAAGCCATCCCTGTACCAGGCCGTGAAGGCCCACAAGAGGGTCCCACATTATCTAGACAATCAGCTCAAAGATGGTGGTAAGGTTGTCAGCCTTACGCGCCGGCTGCGCTTTACTCCCCAGGAAAATTATTTAATTAATTCCTGGTACTCATTTCTGTTAGAGGCTTAGTAAACTCCAGGGCCTAGCGCAGCTGGAAGGATTAGGTCAACTGAAAAACTGAAAGAGACCTCATCGGGATTTGAACCCATGACCTTCTGGCTTGTAGCGTAGCATCTCAACCACTATGCTACCGCTTGCCCCCGTTCCTAGGGCTATACATAATTAAATACATGGAGCATAGGCCTTCTGAAGAAGCTGACAGTCACTGAGTTCACCAAAAATTTCTTGCCATTTATGGAACCAAAATATTCATTACCATGGTCATAGGTGCTTGCTGCTAGACTTGTCTTGGGCCAGATGAATCCAATTCAAATCATTATATCATATTTCTTTTACCACTACAGCTGTCCTATCTCTGCGCTAAAGGTCCGACTTAATATTCTTCTCTCCAATTTACCATCCAAAATTTTGTTTGTATTTTTTATCTGCTACAATAATTTTATATAGTTACATCATTACTTCTGTATTATCTGTCCATTCATTTATTCTCCATCTGTTTGAGAGAAGAAAAATGTTTAGGTGATGCTAAACTTTGCTCTAACCAGTCAGTGTGGGATGATTATGGAGAGGACATAAAATTATGTCCTTCCTTTCTCTACCGGCAGCTTTAAATTATTAAAACTGTAGTATAATAGCTGAACTCAAAGCCTGTCACTGAGGACTGTGCTTTAAAGGCAAGAAATACCTTCATTCATGGTAAAAAAAGGTAAAGTTATCCATGTGATTACTTAATTAAGCACCACCCCATGAAGACATATGGGGCACTAGATGGAGGTGAATGGTCAGCTTTGCATCCTTGCCACTCTACTCCTGGGGGAAGAGCTCCCATTACTCATTGTATAGGAACCTGGATGGGCCCTGGAACTGGTGTGGATGTTATGGAGAAGAGATAAATCTTGCCCCTGCTGGGAATTGAACTCTGGCTATCCAGCCCATAGCCCTTCCTGTAATAACTGAGTTTACCAACTTCTGCCTTCATTCATGCACATAAGAAATAGTAAGAAATTACAGATTTCAAAACAGTTAACATTTTCCATGATCACTGTAGACTTCTTTAAGAGCAGACTACTTTTTACACACAATTTGTATCATGCAAGAGTGTTTGATTATGTAGAAATTTGTGTCATGTTTGAATTAAATTGAATTTTTTGGAATGGTATGTAGCACATTGAGTGGAAAGTTACTGTACCTAGATCTGGTTTGAGTCTAATGATGAGCTTTAGTATTTGCGGTGTTGACCTACCATATTTCACTATCAATTAATTACTTAGCTTTATAATGAAGACAGTAAATTCACGTGAATCTGTTTGGCATTAGTTGATACATGTTCAGATCGAAGAAAAGTCAGAATTATGTGATGGATGAATAAACAATCAAGATTANCGTCGGTTAACACCACATATACACGGTGCCAAATCCCAGAAGACTGCTTTCTTCATAGTCACCGCCGTGAAAGCCTCAGATCTTACAAGATTAAGGCTTTTTGTTATTATTACACATGCAAAGGTAAAAAGATAAATGTAAGGTAAAATTGTTCCTGTATCTAATTAATTAATCACCATGCCATGAAAATGTATGGGAGTGGAAGTGTAGCTTCACTATCCTTGACTTCGGCACTAGATGGGGGTGAGTGGTCAGTATATGCCCCATCCGCTTCATGCCTGAGGAAATAGGCCCCTGTACCCATTGGATAGAGGTTGCATGGGCCCCAGAGTCCCTCTTGATGCTGTGGAGTGGAGAAAAATCTCTTGCCTCTGCAGGGAATCGAAATCCATCAGTTGGACCCATAGCCTTTTGCTTTACCGACTGAGCTATCTTGACATGAAGATGTTTCTAAATACTTGATACGCAGATTGTTTAATATACTGGTATGTAATGTCACAGTAAAGCATTACATCAGAAAATAAAACAGTTCTGATTTCAGTCCAGTCTGAACTCAGTCAAGACATTCATTGTGATCTTTTAACTGAAACATTTCGAACATTTGTCTTCCTGTAGTTTAGCTCTCCATTTAGTGGCAAGATGAAGAGTGTGTGGAACAGTACCTCACCTCTCCACTTCATATTGCAGTACATAATTAAGCAAGGGACATTTTTTACCTTTGCAAAAGATTATCAAGAATGAAACTCTTTGACAGTGGTATAATTACTTTTTAAATATATATATATGTTGAGTTATAAATTCGGGTGAGAATAAGCATTGTTATTGGGGGTAAGAATAAAACATATCTTCTGATGTGCTCAGGAGACGATTGTTAATTTGTGAATGTACTCCGTGGCCTGTAGTCCGCAAGCAAACTATACCAACTGAGCGACCGCCGCTTGTCGGTGAAGTTAGCACAAATCTGGAAATGTATGCGTAGCATACATTTTGTTTAATTATCTTGAAAAGTATAAGCTTACAGGCAGACTGTATAGGATATACAATGTATGTTCCATTTTTCTTTATGCAACTTCTGTTTAAAATATATTTTTGAGTGATAAATATACAGGGAGTTGCACTTGAGATTCATACAGAAAAGCATGTAGGAAGAAGGGCTTCATGTAAAATACCTATTTGTTGTTTTGTCTGATTTTAATAAAAACTGGAATGTGATGTCAAATTTCATGAAAATCCATTAACTGATTCTTCTAATGTTTGAATCATGCTCGAATAGATTGAGTGATTTGAATAGGTGCCTCACAAGGTTGTGAATATAACTAAATATTGGGTGATGTTGGTATTTTAAAGCATGAAGACATTCAAGGGCATGACTGTATGCAAGACTATACAAATTTTGTATACTGTTTGGGCCTTTGTCTGAATAAAAAATTGAAAATAGAACTTAATTAAGTTTGTGTTTTTGCAGGTGGTTCTGCATTCAGCTGACATTCAGACATTATCATCTTTGAAGGAAAAGTTTGCAACTTTGAGTTCTGAACTGTCTGAACTTCGACTTTCCAAAGAACAAGCTGAGAACACTCTCAATGAACTGCGTTCAGGCTGGGAAGCAAGAGAGGAACACTTTAAAAAAGAGTTAAATGATACCCAAAAGCAAGTAAAGGATATGGATTCTCAGAATGCTTTGCTGCATGATCAGATCCAAGCACTGAGTTCACAACTTGCTGTTCTGCGAGCAAGTGGTCATCAGACAGACTCTGCAGTGAGAAATATATCCAGTGACTCACTAAATACCTCCATATCAGAAGAAGAGAAGAAATCCTCAGAACAGTTACTTCAGATTGTCAAGTACCTTCGCCAGGAGAAGGATATAGCTCTCTCGAAATATGAAGTCCTGCGTACTGAAAATCTCCGCCTGAAATCACAGCAAGAATATCTTGAAAAGCAAGCAGAAGATGCTAAGAAATCTTTGTTGGTAGAACAAGAGAAGATGGAAGCATCTTCAGTGACAGCTGCCAAACATTCAGAGCTGTTGAGGAAGGTGGAGACTCTGAATGCTATAACAGACAGTAATCGCATATTGCGTGGAGAACGGGATGATCTCCAGGTTAAAGTTCGTGAATTGCTGGAGCAGGTGGAGAAGTTAGAAAAGGAACTAGGCCCTTTGAAGGAATCCAACACCGATCTGTCCGCTCGTGTTGAATCTATGACTGCTGAGAATGTTGCACTTCGTGGAGAAGCTGGAAGGTGTGTGTAATGCTAGTTATAATTAATTACTTCCTTCTGTCTGTCATTCTCTCTGTATGTCTGTCCATCCATCAATCATCCGTACATCCGCTCATTTGTCCATCTGTCCGTCTATCCCTCCGTCCATTCCTGTTGCTCCCAGTTGGAGCATAGGGCATTCACTTCAGTTTGTTAATCTTAGACAGTCGGTAAGACTCCTTGGCTGCGTGATCAGCCAGACTCAAGGCCACTACCTACACAGGACAACACACACATAGAATGAATGCAGACACACATCCATGCGTTGGATGGATTCAGACCCACAATCCCAATGTTCGAGCGAGTGAAGTCATTTCATGCCTTAGACTGCGCGGCAAATGTGATCGGCAGTTAATTACTTCAGGACTCCATATATAATTTAACGTTTCCCATGTTTCTTTTTGTCTGGAAGCAAAATATTTTTTGTAAAATATTAGACGCGTGAAATATCATTCAGACACCTGGTCAGAATGACCAAAAGTAGGCGATAACATACAAGGTCAGGCAAAGAAGTTTTGAGACTATTTTTTTAAAAATTTATTTTGAGAGCTGCAGATATTAACAACCTAGAATTTTTTACAGTACTCTCCCTCCAGTTCTCTAGTATGTTCCCAGAGCTTCAGCCATTCTTCAGAACAGTTCTCAACATCCTGAACAGGAATGTCAAAATATTTTTTCACAGATGATTTAATGCCCTCAACATCCAGAAACATTTTCCTTCCAGCACTCTCTTGAGTTCTGTAAACAGCCACAAGTTGGTTAGAGGAAAGTTAGGGGAGTATGGTGGATGATTCATGGCGAAGACACTTTTCTTGCTAAAAGCTGCGACATTCGAAATGAAGAATGTGCAGGTGCCTTGTCCTGGTGAAGAATCGATGAGCAGTCTCTCCAAAACTCTCCTTGCTTGTGCCTCATGGCATCAATGAGCCTTTTGAACACCTCCAAATATAATTTCTGATTAATGTTGGTCACTTCAGGTACAAATTCAAAGTTGGTGATACCCCCAGTGTCAAAAAAGCAGATCAACGTTGTTTTGATCTTGGAATTTAACATCTATGGCTTCTTTGGCCTTGGGATTCACTATAAACTATTTTTAACATCTCCATCACTTCACTTGGCAATTTCCACAGTTTAACACAAACATTCACTTTCCATTCCATTGTACACTCAGTTTTCACATCTAGACAAAGATGACACAATGATCTAATGAGCTGCTGTTCAGTGAATATTGAATGCAGCTTATCCAGATTTACCATATGAGCTCTGTCTTGATGCATCACTTAATATTCCAAGTAAAAGCATTTCCAGGTCAGCTGGCATGAAATTAAAACTGAGTCTTGAAACTTGTTTACCTGACCTTGTATGTAAAATGAGTTTTACCTCAAGGGTGTTCTGTTTTGCAGCAGAAGACTGTAAGCACATGATGCAAAGTTTTCCTCTTGCAGAAACAACATATTGTCATGTGTTAGGTGTGTGACACGCGACAAATAATTTCCCGCCGTATTGGATCTAGCGACTTTATTGAACACTCACTCTCACAATTACACAATTCACAATTTCCTAATTACTGCAATCGGCAGTATCATAAATACTTCTCCTGTAGTCCCTGCCATGCACTCGATACAACCCGACTCGGTGACTGGAACTGACTGGTTACTCTCTCTCTAGTAACTGGCTCAATACTCACTACTCACTACTCTAGCAGCTTCCGCACTGACAACACAGAAAACAGTTACACGATAGCTACCACTGTTGTGTAACGTCGCGTTTACAGGTGTTGCTGGGGAATGTTCCCTAGAGTTGTTTATTGCTGCATAGTAACCGCGGTGTCCCCTGTTATGTCACTGTGGGAGGTGACGGAGTGCTTACCGAGTGTTGCGTAATAATGGAAGGGTTGGGGATATGTGACGTCACTTGCGAGACTGCAGTGTTCACGTGACTCCTACTTCCCATTGCGCCATCCACGTCACACTATGTATGTCTCCCTGCTGTCACTGTTCACTGATGTTCATTACAGTTTCCTCGGATTTCTCATTACTCTCATGAGTCAACCCAATTGTTTCTGTTTTTAATGTATGGAAAAAAGTGTTCTGTTTGCATATTGAGTTCAGGAGGTGAATTCTTCATTATTTGTTACAGTGTAGAATATGTACAGTAAGGACATCAGATGTCCCTAGTGGAACTGAGTGTTGTATATATTTATAAACTGTAACATCTCTCAGAAGTTTTTTTTACTGTGGTACAGTTCACAGCATTTGTTGGGCTGCAAAATTGGCTGTCTACTGCACAGCTTGTAAAAATATATTCCCTCTTTCCGCAACTTCAACACCTTACACATTCGCGAGCGTTACGTTACCGCCATGTACCGCTGGGGAGGTAGGGGCGATCCATAGCTCAACATGTCACAATATATTCCCTCTTTCCGCAACTTCAACACCTTACACATTACATGAGCAATAGACCCATTTTCCTACCTGAAGAAGTTCACCATTTTGTTTTACATCAGGTGGGCGACTTTTCAAATATATGTTAATTTGAGATTTTGGATGGATAGATATTGTATTTGCTAAAATATAAGCCACACTGTTTTCCCAAATTTGATGCTTATAAGTGCATAGGATTTGAGGTTTTCACAGCGGTGGTTAAGAAGAGTTCTGACACCTGGGATGTAATGTTGTCTAAGTAAAAAGAAAAGTAAAGCTGTCCCTGTAACAGGCCTTAGAGGCCCATAGGGTTGTGAGACGCTGAGGCTCCCACATTATCTAGATAATCGGCTAGATGGCGGTAAGGTTGTCAGCCTTACGCGCTGGCCATGCTTTACTCCCCAGGAAAATTATTTAATGAATTCCTGGTACTCATTTCTTTTAGAGGTTGAGGCCATAATGCGGCTGGAATGATTAAGTCAATTGAAAAAAATCCAGTGACCTCATCAGGACTTGAACCTGCGACCTTCCAGCTTGTAGCATAGTGCCTCAACCAACTATGCTGCCGCGTGCCCCTTAATGTTGTGTATTCCACTGAAAGTCAACCAACCTCTTTGGAGGAACATCGTGACCTCTGCCTGCTTCACGCTCATTTCGTGTTTACCTTATTCTTCAGTCGTGAAGGTGGATGTGACATGTTCCTCCGAAACATTGGTTGACTTTCAACAGACTACATAGCATGATGTCCCAGAAAACAGAACTCTTCAGCTTATGAGTAGTTAATAAAGAAAAATCAGTGTTATGACCAAGAAATGAAGGTTTTATTTAAATAATACATCAATACAGACTTTATTTAAAACTATATCAGCTGATTGAATCCAGAAGGAAATGCATCATGTCTTAATTTTTGACATGAGAGCCTCTCATTATCCAGGAAATTAAATTAATGTGTTTGAGGTAACATACGAAACAGTGTGGAGCAACATGAAACTTCCTTACTCCGCAGTGTTCTGATTGTTGTGTGTAATGAGGTAGGTGCATAAAGATTTTGTTCTTTTCAGTGGCATATAATTTTGATGGGCCATGGCATATGTTCAAGGAAGGCCGTGCCATAGCTCAAGTGGTTAGTCGCTGGCTTCCCACTGTGGCGGTCCGGGTTCAATCCCGGTTCTGGTCAAGTGGGATTTGTGGTGGACAAAGTGGCGCTGCGGCAGGTTTTCTCCAAGTACTTCGGTTTCCCCTGCCAATCTTCATTCGACCAATTGCTCCACAATCACCCTCACCTATCATCTGGGGCTGGTACAATAGGCCAGAAGTGGCCGCAGTACAAGGGACTTAGTCCCACTCCACTAGCAATAAAAAAGAAATATGTTCAGGGAAATATGGTCTCTGACAGCTTTTTTTAACCAGAACCTAGCTCAAGGCCTTAAGTGACTCTAACTTGAAGAGATGTATTTATTGCCTGCTCAAAATACGTGGAACTTGTGACTCACCATACTCAGCTCCATACTTGGTGGGCTGTTATGTCAAATATAAGGTTTAATCTTCCATGCTCTGTATTGTGTAGACTGAGGCAGAGAATGAACTACCTTATTGAGCGGTCAAGCAAGGCGAGCCCCGAGGATTGGAGGCGGTTGCAGCAAGAAAGAGAAGGACTTGTGAGGCATCTAAGTGGGGAGAAGGAGGCCCACCAAAAAACTGTGGAAGAGAATAGAGGACTGAGGCAAGAGAAAATCCGGCTGGAAGAACAGGTTAGGAATTATTTCACAATATTATATTCAGCAGGAACATTTTTTTGCACTTTGGTATGTACAATTACCAGTTTCTTGCTTCACACACATGGTGATTGGTATTGCAGTGTTATTTTTTTAATAACAATGGATTTATTAAATAATGAGATTAAGCAGTTGTGGATTTTATGAAAGGGTTTCAGTAAGTTATGCAGAGGTTTTCTTGGAGCATCTGTAGATATTTCTGTCTCATTTTGAGGTTTTATGGAACGGAAAACTAAGAACAGTTCTGCCTGGAGAGAACTGCAAGCATTTCAGTATTTGTGCAAACCCCATGGGAATGTCAGATAGCAGAATCATCCCTTGGAAGTGGACTGTTCATTTACAAACGAGTCTCTAACATCTTTGAAACCTAGAGAAACATCATAGATGCAGGTGGTACGCAAAAGTTCTGTTTTTAATGACATATTATGGCTTCAATGGCATATGTCATGGGGAAGGTTAATAATAATAATAACAATACACTTCGTTCAGTGAAGGAGAAAACTTGGCTGTAGTGCTGACCGGGCCCAACATTCCTCACAGATTGCTGCTGTAACTGCTGATAGCAGAATGAGTCCTTAGTGCTGATAAACGAATGCTGTCGGGTGGTGTGATCTTGTCACTGCAGTTAAGTCATATTAATAGTCAGTCTGTGTTAGAGATGTCAATAGGCGGTCGATGTTTATACTGAAATGAAGTTCACTATTGAACAGCGTGTGTCTATTGTCGAAACTTTTGCAAGGGAAAAAACTTACAGAAAATGTATCTGTAAGTTTCGTCATAAATATCCTGACGCTCCAGTTCCCACAAAGTTGTATGTATCCAAGCTTGTGAAAAAGTGGCGGGCCACAGGTTCAGTGTGTGACATAAAGAAGCAACTGAAGAACAGGGTCGGGATATTGAGGCATGACTGCAGATCAGTCCTTGAAAATCGTTAAGACACATTCCGCTATCAGCAGTTACAGCAGCAGTCTGTGAAGAATGTTGTTCCTGGTCAGCTCTGTAGCCAGGTTTTCTCGACGATTGATCGCCCTGTGTAACATTTATTGTCATTTGGAACAGTTACTGTCCCACCAGTCATCTTGCCACTTGTGATCTTGATGTCATTTATTTCTTGTCCACTGCTGTTTCACTGTACACTACAGCACTGTCCTTGTCTTCAACTTCCAAACTTGCCTTAACTTGCCGGGCATCTCCCTCTCAGCTTCGTGTCTGGTTCTCCACATGTGCCTGCATTTTGCGACTTCTACTTGTAAGCCCAGTTTGTAACTGTGTTCTCCTTGGCTTGTAACCACAGTTTTATGCATGTTGCAGCTTTGAGAATATGTGGGCACTAATTTGTGTTGAGTCAGCCCTCCACTTTCTGGAAATGACAGTATGCTTTGCCAACAGTGCACACTTCCATCTCTTCCAATATTTGTCTATTTATGCTAGTTCTTTAGAATGAACAAGAAGTCCTATTGGTTCATTGGTTTTTCACTAATGTAGGGCATCATTTCATTTTTGTCTGTTTTCCTTAGCTTTCATTTTGCATAACATGGCTAGACCAGAGAAATATTTATTGTAATATCCTTATACCAAGTGTTTCCCTTACTTTATTATTCCTGATAGATAACCTTTATCTTCTGTGGATCACACAGCTCTGCAAGTGTATATACCAGCTCAGCAGACGTAGCATCATGCTTACAGTTTAAATCGTGACTGCCAGTGCCATATGGCAGGGGATTTATATGTGGATGATACAGTTGCAGATCTCAGAAAATAATTTCAGCAGACTGCAGTCTACTGAAGTCCATGTCCTCTGGCCATGGTTCAGTTCCTTAGTATTGCTGTGAAAAGTTTTTGTATTAAAAATTATTTTGACTTTCCATGATGATTTCCTTCTTTATAGTGCTCTAAAACCCTTATACAGCAATATATGGTGTAAGACCTAATTTTTTTGGCTTTCTTTAGTTCTTCTCATCTGAGAGTAATAACCTGCATTTCCAACATTGCATATTTTAAGATCAACAGATTAGGCCATGCCATAGCTCAAGCAGTTAGTCGCTGTCTTCCCACTGTGGTGGCCCAGGATCGATCCCGTGTCTGGTCAAGTGGGATTTGTTGTGGACAATGTGGCGCTTGGGCAGGTTTTCTCCAAGTACTTCGGTTTTCCTGCCAATCTTCATTCCACCAATTGCTTCACAATCACCCACCTATCATCTGGGGCTGGTACAATAGGCCACAAGTGGCCGCAGCACAAGGGACTTAGTCCCACCCCACTAGCAATAAAAAAAAAGTGGTAAATAGATACAACACCAAATCCACAACTGACTAGGCGATGTTACATTTGTTTCAATTTTTGATCACACATGGTCATTTCTGTTTGCATTTGGATGTCAAGCTGAGATGGCAGTATGAATGTCACTATAGAAGTTCATTTTATGATGTGAATCTTCCTAAAGTGAAGACTGTCCAGACCTGTAAATGTCGATTTGTTCTAAATTAAAAAAAGGCCATTATGAACAAAATGATAGCAAATTAAAATTTCAGATACTCCGAGTATTCACTGAATATGTGTTTGCTCAAGACTGAACGTATTTGTTTTCTGTTCTGTTTGGCTGTTTTATTTATTGTGCCTTTTCTTTGTTTTCTTCTCAGTTAAGTGCCCTTCAACGCCTACAACAGCAGCAAGCAGAAGATCTGCGTAAACGTGTTGATGAAGTGAACACACTGAATCAGACTGTGTCCAAGCTTCAGCAGGAATTCAATGATACTAAGTCTACCTTACTTAAGAAAAATGAAGAACTGGCTACAATTACAGAAGATCTGGGTGCCAAAGAAGCGCTGTTGACTGACACGAAAAATAAAGAACTGCAGGTTAGTATAAATTGGTGGTTAGGTAAAGTTGCCCCTGTGCTTAACTAATTAAGCACTATGCCATGGAGGTGAATGGGCATCTTCACATCCTGGCCGCTTGACTCTCGGGGAAAGAGCCCAGGGCTCACATTGGACAGGAGTCTCGGTGGGCCCCGGAGCTGGGCTGGATGACCTGGAGAAGAGAAAATTCTTGAACCTACTGGGACTCAAACTCAGACCCCTTGGTTGTCCAATTCATAGCCAGTTTCTATACTGACTACGCTATCCCTGAATTTATATATACTTTATATAAAGTATATACTATCTTGAAATGTCAGGTAGTGCCTGTGGTTATTTTCATTCATGTACTGGGCATCTGTTGTATCACTACTAACAAGAATGTAACAACACCTGCGTCTATAAAAATATTCCTGCCTTACTCAGTAGAAACACACAGGTGACCACTGATAACAGGGTTCATCCAATATGCACCCTTCATTATAAGAATAAAAAAGGGAAGTCTAAAACTTACAACATATTTTCTATTCCACCCATCCGGTTCTACCCATAAGAAACCCCCATATACATTAAATAAAATAACTTTAACAAAAACTAATAAACAATAATAATTTTAGGAAATTTTACTATTAATTGTAAATATTTTAATACATCTAAACATTGTAACCTATATGTATTGTATGTGTACTGTTTTGTATTTTACGTGGTAAGACCAATAGCAACAGATCCATCATGTAAATCCCAGAAAACAGTACTCTTGGTGAAGGTTGTCTGAATTTTCTTTTATAGATGTTTACAAAACCTCGTGGAATGCGCATAACTTTAAAACCTTGTGTTTGACTACATTTCCTGTGCACAGAACAATTTTTTGTAGGGGGGGGGGGGATTTATAGATTATAAAACTTGAACAGTGTCAGCTTCCATACATTGAACTAGGGAAACACTACACACAGATTAGTCACTTTGTACTCTTATACTCTTACAAAGGAAACCTCTTTTCCAAAGGAACACTTTCATACGTATACCATACAATGTTACCAGTCTCTAGCTTTTCCTCTCACCGTGCTTAGTTCTGTTACTGCACATGCAGAAGTTCTACCCTCACATTTGGCAGTTTCTTTGCTTTCACCATCCCAGCAACCTCCTTTGTTTGAAGGCCAAACAATTTTCTCTGCTCCTATAGTCACTCTTCTGCAGAAGTATCGAAGTACTCTATATTAAAAATTTCAGCTGGGTAAATGTTTTAGTGCCTGGTATCATATTTTCTGTATAAATTATGTAATATGTAGGTCCTGTTGAAAGATACGTTGAAACATTTTTTGTCCCATTACTTTACTGTTCTTCATACATGTAGGTAAGTAAGTTTATGTTTAGGCCGTGCCATAGCTCAAGCAGTTAGTCGCTGGCTCACCACCGTGGCGGCCCGTGTTCGATCCCGGGTCTGGTCAAAGGGGATTTGTGGTGGACAAAGTGGCACTGGGGCAGGTTTCTTCCGAGTACTTCAGTTTCCCCTGCCAATCTTCATTCCACCAATTGCTCCACAATCATCCTCACCTATCATCTGGGGCTGGTACAATAGGCCAGAAGTGGCTGCAGTACAAGGAACTTAGTCCCACCCCACTAGCAATAAAAAAAAAGTTTATGTTTGAATTGTCACTAGTTCTCGTAAAGTCACTGCAACTTTGGCTTATGTTGGGCCTTGTCATAGTCTTCTGTTGGGTGCAAGCTCTTTGAGAATCTTCTGCTTTGCTTGAGTTGAAAATTGAAGAACAGGAAGAGGTTGAAATTGTTTTTCTGGAAAGCAAATGCTGTATTTCATCCTGTTATATAAAGTACACCTTTTCACAAACTTGATACATTTTTGAAAGGTCATTGGCAGAAATTTTCTGTGTCACTGACTGGTCCTTGGTGTAAGTGTGTGAAGTTTGTACAGATTGGATGTGAAGTGGGCTGCTGCAAAAAAATTATCCATGAAGAGGTGGTATCCTTAGTGTTGAAGTTTTTTTTTATAGCTAGTGGGGTGGGACTAAGTCCCTTGTACTGCGGCCACTTCTGGCCTATTGTAGCAGCCCCAGATGATAGGTGAGGGTGATTGTGGAGCAGTTGGTGGAATGAAGATTGGCAAAGGAAACTGAAGTACTCAGAGAAAACCTGCCCCAGCGCCACTTTGTCCACCACAAATCCCACTTGACCAGACCTGGGATCGAACCTGGGTCTCTGTGGTGGGAAGCCAGCGACTAACTACTTGAGCTATGGAGCGGCCTGATGCATTGTACCTTAGATACTTACCTGCAGGCTACATTATAAAAAATATGTGTATTCCTGTGTATCAATACGAATATTTGGCTGTGAAGCACAAGCCACAAATAAGAATTGACGCGTAAATTTGAGAATCAAAGTTAAATATTGCTGAGATGGCTGTGCTTAAAAATCAGCTGCTAGTTTCAGTAGATTGTATCGGTAACTGCATACAATCATGGAGTCACTCCATTTCCTTACTTTTTAAGTTTTCTTGTTGGTGTTATGAAATCGGTAGCAGAATTAGCATGGAATCTGTGTTAAGCATGTTTCAAAAACAAATTTAAGACAATATGAGCTGTCTTTTTTAAAGAGAGGGGAAGCCTTAGCACACATTTTGGGAAATAGAAGTATACTCTCAGGGAGCCATGCAAGATAATTTGGTGACCCATATGACAGACCATGTTCCACCAGATGGACAGTTTTACCTACATGATATACCATTGTAGTGATCATCAGCCTTGCGCAAGGGTCACGAAACTGTCTGGTTGTTGCCTGGCATGTCAGTCTTGCACTGTTGCATATATTTGGTTAATTAGCAGTTACTGAATAGCCACTTGCTTTTATTCTCGTATCTTGCTTGGCTTATTCTTTGACCCTGAAGATGGAGGCGGTGTGTTCCTGTGAAATATCAGTTGACTCTCAGTGGGCTACACGGTGTTATATCGCGGAAGACAGTTATCTTCATAACCTCGTATCCTATGCTGGAGACTGTATGATCAGTAAATGAGAAGCATTTAAGTAGCAGGTAGGAGAGTTGCAGACATGCTTAAATTGTGTTGCGGTGCTCTTACAGATTCGCAAGATAGCGAGGCGCTACAAATCGCAGTTTGAAGATCTAACAAAAACAGTGGAGGAGGGGAAGGTTGCTAAAGAGAAGGAAGAAGCTGCTGTGGCTGCAGCAGCAGCAGCCGCAGCTGTGTCCGCCCAAGAGATTCCTCCAGAAATGCAGGAACAGCTGCGAGATGAGGTTAGAAGAGAGATGGAGAGTAAGTTAAAGGAGGCTGAGAGCAGACATTCCGCTGTAGTTAAGGAGCTAACAGAACAGGTACAGATTCATGGAGTAAATATTCATTAAGAATGTAAAAACATGACTTTATTTATTTTTGTTTTATTTTATTTCATTTATTTATTTACTCATTTATTTCAGTGTGTATAAAAACACACCAAGTATGGATTCGTGAATAGAGAGAGAAAAGAATTTGATGTTTTGATAGTGTTGGATTGGCCCTGGTAACCAGATACATGTTCAGTATCTGGCCTTGGTAGATGCAAATGTCTTTAGTACACATAAGGAGGGTTAATAGAATGTGTGCAATGGTTGCTAGAAGCTTTACTCCATCATCTGGTAGACAGCATCTCAGAACACCTATGTGTGGTATTCACCACTATTACTAAAGCAGTCGTAGGCAGACAGCACAAATTACACATTTGCCTTGAAGCATGTTTATACACACACGATAGGAGTAATGTTTTACTGCAGCATCCTGTTATGATTTACTTATTTTCAGTTTTTATTCCTCTGTCTCACATGCAACTGGTATTAAAATCTAAAAATTTACTTTAAATTTTCAAATTGTAACTCAAGTTGCATGTGATATTGTGAAATAAAAAGTGAAAATATTGTCACATGTTGGGTGTATAATGCGACAAATAAATTCACGCCGTGCTGGATCTAGCGAATTTTATTTCACATTCGCACTTACAATCACTCAAATTACAATCTGACAATTACTGCCATCGGCAGCATCACAAATACTACACTGCAAATGCCAGAATACAACTGACTGGCTGCTGGCTATCTTGTAAATGCTGCCATGAGAACTAGCTCGTAGGCTTGCTCGGAACTGAACTCGGAACTGAACTCAGAACTGAGAACTGTCGTCGGCAGCTGTGTAGCTCCCTTATAAACCCTCAGCAGGGCAATGAGAAAACAACCACGTGGTAGGGATCACTGTTGCTACCGTCGTCTATCGCAACCACTGTTTATCCGCGTTGCCTAGTGACCAGTGCGCTGGGACTCGGCTCACTTCGGCTCTGCTCGGCACGTCACCGCGGGGAGAGTGGAGGGGTTATGACTCGCCTATTACCATAGTGACGAGAGCGCTACCTTACCGCCACGTGCCGCTGGGGAGGTAGGGGTCCTCCATTGCGCAACATGTCACAATATAATAGGAGTGACAGTCAATGAATTGTAAGTGAAATAACTTGTCAGAACACGTGGAATCCTGCGAACGTAAATTACTAACAAATAATAGCATTGTATGCTGCTGAGTCCACTGCATATCTTCTTTTTTGATCCATGATATGTATGTATTGGCCGTCTTGTAGTGCACTCAATCTCACATGTCACTTCACTACATGTTTCGGCATCACTGTGCCATCCTCAGGTGCGTTATTTATGCTAAGCTATTGCACTGCTCGCCATCATGTGTCGCTCATAAAATTATTTAAAATGTACATTCTTCATCAACTGTAATAAAATTTGTATACACTAAAACTTGTTAAGATTTATCATCTCGTACGTCTTAATTCAAACTCGCATATTGTATGGTTCTTCCACTATGGGAGTTTGAATTATGACATATAAGATGGTAAATCTTAACAAGTTTTAGTGTATACACATTTTATTACAGTTGATGAAGAATGTACATTTTAAATAATTTTATGAACGACATATGATGGCGAGCAATGCAATAGCTTAGCGTACATAACGCACTTGAGGATGGCACAGTGATGCTGAAACATGTAGTGAAGTGACATGTGAGATTGAGTGCGCTACAAGATGGCCAATACATACATATCATGGACAAGAATCAGTGCAATAGGACGCTAAAATACAACATTCTTTTTTGATGTTTTGTTGTCAACTGCTGTTGAATGATGCTAATGACTGTGGTCATGGTATTGTGGTGTTTGGCGACTTGCTCATGATCATGTAGCTCCCAGCACTAAAGATTGATCTCTAGGCTTAACTTTATATAATACTACCATATTAAATATCAGCAGAGACAGAAATATTATATAGACTTATAAATAACATCTGAACCTTTATTATTGGATTAAAGTTATATAAAATAGATGATGGAACAGAGCAGACACAGAGGGTCCAAGAGATGCTGAAATTCTCGGGATAAAGTTACAGTATTGTGACCCCATGGCATGGAGCTTTAGTTTAAAAATAATTGCATATTAGAGCTTCCACATTGTAGAATTCTGATTTGTGCGTAGCCAACTAATTACCATGTTTATATGCACATGCACGCTCTTGTTTGCTCACTCTCACCCACTAACTTTCAAATCACATTTTCTTTCTCTCTCTCTCACTCACAGTGTCTCACTCCTACACTCTCTCTTTCATGCTCATGTTCACACTCACACAGTTCATTTACTCTCTGACACATACATTCATGCTGTCATTCGGTCTCTTTCTCTCTCTTGTGCGCGTGCGCACACGCTCACAAGCCACCATTATTTATAGTCTGTATGGCTGTTTATGGAAGGATTTTCCATGAAATTTTCATTGCATTATAAATCATTCCTGCTTCCATTGACAAACTTTTATTCTGCATTATTCTTGATTCATGAATTTATGGCTCATCGATGTTTCAAAATCATCCCGTTTGCTTTCAGTTGTTCTTTAGGAAGAAAAAATCAACTTTAATATGGTCACATCAGTCCATCTGTCTGTGACCTAATATCAGTGCCAAAATAGTAGATCTCTTAAATTTTGACATCTATAAAAAAGGTAAAGTTGTCTCTGTCCTAAACTAACTAAGCCCTACGCCATGAAGGCGTATGGGGGAGTGGATGTATAGATCCACATTTTCTTGACCTCGGTACTAGCTGGAGGTGAGTGGTCAGCTTCACACTCCAGCTGCTTTACACCTGGGGAAAGAGCCCCCAGTAGCTATTGGGTAGGAGGTTGCTTGGGCCTCAGGGCCAGTCTGGATGATGTGGAGAAGAAAAAATTATTGACCCTACTGGGACTTGAACTCTGACCCCTCAGTCGTCCAGCCCATAGCTAGTCACTATACCAACAACACTATCCCGCCTCCCTAAATTTTTCAGCAATACTTTCAGTAAATTTTATCTGGTAGTTTCAGTGGAGTACACGCGGGGAGTACAGTGCAGCCTGCGAGTAAGGCTGACAACCTTACCGCCATCTTTGAGCCGATTGTCTAGATAATGCGGGACCCTCATCGTCTCACAACCCTATGGGTCATCACGGCATGTTACAGGGATAGCTTTACTTTTTTTTAGTTATCAAGAAAATGGAGGCTCAGTCTTCAGGTCACATTTTTGAAGCCTAATAACAAAATGAAAATTAGAAACCAGGAAAAATGCATGATGTGAGTACGAGGACAACAGAAACAAGGGGTCAGGTAAAGGAAGGAGGTGAGGGAAGAAAGGGGAGGAAGGTATGGTTACAAGGGAGGGAAACAGTAGAAGGGTGGGTTAATACTTACAATGTTATAGCAAAGATATGCCTGTTGCCTGTAATAATAATATGTATCATTGGTATGAAATATTTTCACAACTTTAGGCTAAAAATGGTTGAATATACAAAAGAAATTTACAACAGAGTAACAAGAATGATACATCCCTGAAACATTTTATGAGAGGCTAGGAGACCTTAGAAGGAAGTCATTGTTGTGGGAAAGGACTTGTTTGGGCTATCATTTCAGCACCTAAGCACAGACATTTGCTGCTAGTAAGAAGAGGTTTAATCAGTTACTTATGTGAAATATAAAACAGTAGATGTTTATGTTGGATTTGAGGTTCCCACCAGTGTGGCTATGAAGTCTGTGGGCTTCTGGATTGTAACGCCATGTAATTTTGAGAGTACCCAACATTTCAGAGGACTGTATTGTCTCCACCTTTTGATTCAAAGCATAGGCCAAGCAAGAAGTCAGTTGCTTCCACTGGTTTCTTGCTTAGCTTACTCATTGAACCAGAAGATAGAGGTGGTACATTCCACCAGAATGTTGGACTGTTTGACCTACATGGCCCTAAAACCCCAAAGACTGTGCTCTCAACAGACGTAATGTTTTGCACAAGTGTGCCATTTTGAAGAACCGTAATAATGAAATACCTGTGAATGAATTCAGATGTAGCTGGGAAGATCAATTTAGAGCATAAAATATTCAAATTGAAGGGCAATAAAATGTTCCTAACCTTATATTTTTACCAGGATTGTTTAAAGTCCTTGCAATTAGAAGTCTTATAGTAGGGTCTTGTCTAATGAAAATATAGGATTTTAGGAATCTTGTACTTGGTCCTTCACAAAAGTCACTCACTCACTCATTCAAGGAGCTGAGCCCTTCTTGAGAAACTGCCAGTTGTGCAGCTACTCGAGAACTTCCCAACATTTTATGGAAACTGAAGGTTCATTACTGTGTTCACAAGAGACCTCACTGGTCCCTATCCTGAGCCAGATCAGTCCAATCCATACTATCTCATCCTATCTCTCTAAGATCCATTTTAATATTGTCCACCCACCTATGCCTTGGTCTTCCCAGTGGTCTCTTTCCTTCTGGCTTTCCCACCAATCTCATATATGCATTCCTCCTCTCCCCCATTCGTGTAACATGCCCTGCCCACCTTATCCTCCTTGACTTGATCATTCTAATTATACTTGGAGAAGACTACAAATTATGAAGCTCCTCATTGTGCAGTTTTCTCCACCCTTCTGTCACTTCATCCCTCTTCGGTCCAAATATTCTCCTCAGCACCCTGTTCTCAAACACCCTCAGTCTATGTCCCTCCCTTAATGTCAGAGACCAAGTTTCACACCCATACAGAACCACAGGCAAAATTATAGTTTTGTATATTCTAATTTTTATGTTTTTTGATAGCAGACAAGAAGGCAAAAGGTTCTGGACTGAATGGTAGCAAGTATTACCCAAATCTCCTCTTAATCCTTCTGAATCAGGTTATTATATTAAGGTGAAACTTGTTTCTAAATAAATGGCATGGTGAGTGGGTAACATATGTACACTGCAATGTGATGCCAGGCAGGCTGGTAGAACCTCTGTTGAACTGTGTGGTGTCACATCCCAGGACACAGAAATCTTCATAGTCACTACTGTGAAAATTTCAAATCCTGCTTATGAAACTTTTTATGTATCTTACAGGTTACAAGTTCACGTCAGGAAACAGAAATCCTACGTAGAGAGAATGATGCGTTGAAGGCTTCTATGGCTGATAAGGAAGAGAGAACAAAGTCTCTACTGAAAACTGCTCGACAGAAAATAATGCACCAAACAGAGATGAACCAGACATTGTCCCGTCAGCTGTCCGATTTAGAGCAGTCTAAAGGTACAAATCCTTTAATTCCTTGTGTCAGCATTTAAGTGGTCTCTTGGTTTGCCAAGTGGAGTCAGTTAAATCCAGATTCTGACAGTGCTTTCAGAGTGAAACATATCAGTAGAACTCTGCGGAATAATGAAATTAAATAAATTAGTTTCTGAGATATAATCTTTTTATTTTGGATACCTTTCATCGAACACCCTGTATATTTGTGAGCAGTTACGTATGTTCCAAATATCTTCATATAACCTTGGGGTAATTGTTCATATCATTTCCAGGCAATTGTGTTCATTGTAGAAGTCTTGTTTGTTCTGTACTAAGGTATAATTTCTTTGCTGAAATGTTAGGCCTATTTTATTATTTTATAATTTTGCATGACATCATTAAATGGCATATGATTGGATGTGTACTATTACCTTGGGATGTGTCATGGTGTAGTCTGATGTCCATCAACAACATACATCCAAAATGTCAGTGAACCACTGCTCTACTACTTGGCATCACATTCCAGGTGATAGTACTCTTCATAGTCACTGCTGTGAAAACCTGAGTCAACTGATGATCCGTTCATCAGCTGTTTCTCATGTACATTATCACCCAGTGATAATTACTTCCGTCACTTGCTCTGTGACACACAGTTGTGATAATTACTTCAATCACTTGCTCTGTGACACACACTCCCAGTATTCCTTCCACTTTGTTTTCTGTTTTAGCATACTTGAAGTCATTCAGAATCACCTCATGTAAATCAGAGTTTGCTACATAATAATTGCTTTTCAAACTAGCCATGTTTTCAGCAGAATCACTGCAAATTTGTCTAACATATACACTTCTGACCACAATGTGTAACACCGGGAATTGCCAGTTTTTGGACTTTGTCCATTGCCCAATATACTAAAGAACAAAACGTTTTGGGCGAAGGATCTGTTTCCATCCTCAGGCGAGGCTGGTGGGGGTTGCGTCTGTTAGAAAGAGCTAACCTCAATTACTGTTGCGTAGAATATGGGATGATGGACAAAGTCCAAAAACCCGGTGATGCTGATCGTTGGAAATGTACTTGCATTTATGTGACACTGTTTTCTTTGGAATGCTGTATTTTATGGCCATTACAAATCTGTGATATTGGAAGAAAGAATTTGTATTGGTAAATGGCCCTTGAAATTTTTTTGAACATTTAGAGAATAAGACCTTTCCTCTCATCATTTGATGACAAATTATGAAACCTTAATGTCCAGTCAGCCTTGATGTTGACCAGAATGAATTCTGTCCTGTGTAATCAGGCATATTGAATGTTTCAGTGTAAGGGCTTAACATTAAATTCAGTGCCATGGGAGTATGTTATTAGCACAGTTGATATTCTTATGACGAATTACATTATTTTCGCTTCTTATTCTCATGTGTTAGTGACTTCTGAGACCAGTTGTCACTCGTTAGTGACAAGACGTGGGGTTTGGATTGAACACTAGATTTAGTGAACACTTATAACTCATAACTAAAAATAACTGTAACACTGTCACTAGTCTGTACACTCTACATATCACTACAGAACAAACTTAAGTGTTCTTAGTTTGTTCTGTCTTCACTGGTTGTTACATGGTAGCGGCTTCCTGCAGTGGAGTGGCCAGCCACCAACTACGACTTCTCACCCACATCTGACTTGTCGCATTGGTCCTTGTTACATAGCCTCAACACTGACTGTGCAGAAAATACTGCTTTCCACAGTTCTGTTGTTGCAGGTGTATTTGTTGCCATGGAAATGTGTTTCCTTGTCCACCCACCTATGCCTTTCTGCTCTCCTGTGCCTAGCAGTGGTCTGCTCTCCTGGCTCCGCTATTCTCTGTTTCAGACATCATATCATAGTCAGATACTGTAGAATTGTCATACTCTATATTTAGGCTGTGGCCACATGAGTGCACGAAGTATGTCCGTTGCAACGAACTACTTCATGACGGATGTTGCTGAGGACACCACACAGTTGCAGAATGCGGTGCATAGTTTTTTGTCTGCAATGGAGCCAGAAGAAAGCGTTTTTTTTATCTTTCTTGTTTATTTCTACAACGGATATCATGACATTCGTTACAACAGACGCATTTTGTGCACTTGTGTTGCCCCAGCCTTAGTCTCCTTGGTGCCTTTATGGTGTTCAATTCCATTGCCCCCATAAAATCATTAAATTAGGGGTTCACACTGTGAGGTTCAGAATAATACAAGAGATTGGGTAAGAAATATGGTTCATATTCGCATGAACTTTGTCTCAGTAATAAATTTTGATCTTATATAATAAAACTTCAGAAACAGAGAACTTTTTTATATTCCACTGTATTGTTACTAATTTAGTTTCTTCCTTATTTTTTCACATGAAGGCATCATGCAGATGAATGCTATGAAAACGCAGTATGAAAGCCGGATTTCTCATCTGGAGAAAGAGAATGCAGATGTGCGAGCTGAGAAACAGCAAGACAAAGAGCGTCTGACGAGGGATGTAGAAGCACTGAATCAGCGATTGAATCAGCTACAGCGTCAACTTGACAAACAGCAGGTAATGTGAAGAGTATGACATTGTTATCCATTCATCACACAGAGGTGTTCAGCTAACAATTCAGCATTTTGTTCAGGCAATTCATGTAGCTGATTGACAGTGTGTAGTGTATTCTACTGGGTGTTTGGACTTTGTCTAAAAACCCAGACTATACCGACTGAGCAACCGCTAATACTTAGATTATATAACATTGAATGGTAGGATGATTGGTGAATAATGAATTGGGAAGGATACTGAAGGGACAGCCATGGCCTGATCGGGTACTATCCCAGCATATGCCTGAAGGGATTAAGGAAAACCGTAAAAAGCCTCAGTCATCATAGCAGCTATACTGGATGAAACTCAACTGAGCATGTGTCAGGTGCAAATCAATATTATTGCAGCACTAGCCTGCTCAGTTAAGTCATCAGAAAAAAATATAATTCATTTATCATATATTTATGTAACTCATTTTCTGAGAATATGTATTAGTGTTATATTTGTCTCATGTGTTACAGGGATCTAAACCATCCACCAGTTTAGGTCCTGTTGAGAAAGCTAATATTGAGCCCCCAACAGCCAATATAAAGCCAATGGCAGGACCATCTTCAACACAGTCCAAGCAACAGCCGGTCAGTTCACATTCTTACGTACCTAGTGTTAACTTCATGATTGTCCATCAAGATTCAAGTCATAGTGTGTCTCTTTATAACAGAATCTTCACAGCCTTTTCTCTTGCTATTTAACATTCCTCGTGCATCTTTTGTGAGTATGTGTCTACAGGGTCATATTGAAGGGGCAGTGTCTGGGGTAGTTGCCCTGTGGCCTCCACAAAGCAGAAATAGAATCCACAGATATTTGCTGCTCTAAAATTATGAAAACTGGATTGTGTTTTTAGGTATTGTAGGAAATAGAACACTCAAAAAAGAAAATTTCAATAACCTAAATATGTCATTATCAGGGCCCAGATTTTGATGACCTGAAAATATTTAAAAACTGACCTATAAAATGACCTAAAGGAGAAAATAAAGAACACTTCGCTTCCATGTTATTCACATTTCAGAAAACATGAAGAAAAATTCCCTAAAATGGCCAAAAATGATGAGAAATACCTTTAAAAGTCCAAAAAATTACCTAAGAAAATGAAAAAATGACCTTAAACCTAAAAATGTCAAAAAATGACAAAAAATTACCTATAAAATTTACATTTCTGTAACCACCAGCTCATATCCAAGATTTATATATATTTAAGAACATCACATAGGATACAAAGAAAAAAAGATGACATGTCATCAAAATCCAGGCCCAGGTCATTACTGATAGGGGCCTCCTCATTCTGATTGCCTTGAGGCCCCCACTGTTGTAGGTCTGGCCCTGTGTCTGTTTTAGAAAATGATTTAATATCTACCATTAGCTTGCTAAGCCTGCCACGATTTTACCAGAACCTCCTTTAACCATATTTGGTTTGTTGAAGGGGGCGTTCTTGCATGATTTTCAGAGCTGCCAGCAACACCCAGGAATGTGTTTTCTTGTTTCACTAGCCCATGTCATCGATAATGAATTTGCACCATTGATTTTTCCTTTTTGTCAAATTCAGTTCATTTGTGACAAAACTTTGTATGTGAATACTGAATGATGAAGAAGGAATAATGATGTTTTATAAATCAGAATTTCATAATATTAACACCTGCAAATTTTGAAGAGTATTTCATTGTTATAATTTTTGTACTATGAAGAAAAAGTGTAAAATATCAACTAGTGTATGCTGCTGATAAAATTCATTGCTTTAAAGTTTATTAGCTCTACTTGTCTCACCATTCTGTTTCTTACACATATGTATGTTAAGCCTGTCTTTCAATGCCTCACATTTTACTGGGCATTTACATTGCTTTAAATTAGTACTCAACAAAGACTGAGATTCCATTTTCTCTCATAACAGAGAACATGTATGTTCATTGTAGTCAAGTTCTCTTGAGATTCATGATGATGTATTATTTCATCTTACAGATGCAGCAGTCTGTAACAGTCACTCCATGGCCAGGACGAGGTGAAACTCCTTTTGCCAGCATTCGGCCAATGTCAATGCAGTCACGTACAGTAGCAGTATTGCCAACAAGTCAGACCAGCAGTTCTAGCAGTAATCAAACATCCAGGTAAAGAAAGTAAAGTAAAACTATCCCCGTACCAGGCCGTGAAGGCCCATAGGGTTGTGAGACGTTGAGGGTCCCACATTGTCTAGACAATCGGCTCAAAGGTGGCGGTAAGGTTGTCAGCCCTACACTCCGGCCGCGCTTTACTCCCCAGGAAAATTATTTAATTAATTCCTGGTACTCATTTCTGTTAGAGGCTGAGTAAACCCCAGGGCCTAGTGCGGCTGGAAGGATTAGGTCAACTGAAAAGAATCCAATGACCTCATTGGGACTTGAACCTGCGACCTTCCGGCTTGTAGCATAGCTCCTCAACCACTGTGCTACCATGTGCCCCCCAAACATCCAGGTAGTATTTTATATATATATGTACAATGGAACCCCCATTTAGTGCTCCTCAGTTTAAAGGTTGTACACATTTAATATTTTTCTCATGCAGCTGGCATGTTATAGTAACAGGCATACTCCATTCCACATACATGGCAGATGATGGGCAGTTCCCTACAATTGGTTTGTCTTGTGTTGCAGCCAGAGCACACAGGTTTTGGTCCCTCCACAACAGCAGTTGGTCCACACAACAGGCTCGGCAAGTGGTACTAGTGCAGAAGTGTTACCATCATCACCCACCTCATCTCACACAGACTACATGCCAGCTACCAGCTCAGCTGGGTCCTCAGTGGGCCCCATCCGTCAAGTAGCAGTGCAACCAACGCAGCAGGCTACTGTTACAACTGTCACAGTTGGGCCGTCACCTAGTTCACGTGAGGAGCCACCAGTCTCAGCAGCTGAATCTACTCAGGTTACTTGATAAAGACTCTTACTACTGGGTAATTCATTGGTATTCAGCAATCCTGTATCATCTGCTGATGTTGCAGAATATTAAATGAGATGTGGTAGACATGCAGTCAGGAGGTAATTATGGCCTGTTGCAGTGTGTATTATTCCTGCACTTCTGGTGCCCCAGGAAAACCATAAAACACGAAACTCAGGATATCTGTTTTTTGTCCCTAAGTGTAAATAAAAGAGTAAAGTTGTCCATGTGCTTAACTGATTAAGCACTACCCCATGAAGATGGGAGTAGATGTATAGATCAGCATTTTCTTGACCTTGGGACTAGTCGGAGGTGAGTGGTCAGCTTCACGCCCTGGCCGCTTTACCCTCAAGGAAAGAGTTCCCATTATCCATTTTATAGGTGCCTGGATGAGCGCTAGAGCCGGTCTGGATGCTGTGGAGAAGAGAAAAATCTTGCCCCTGCTAGGATATGAACGCAACCATTCAGCCTCTATCCTGTCGCTGTACTGACTGAGCTGTCCCAACTCTGTATTTATGAGGTGGTAACGTAAAATTATGAGAATGCCCCTGTAATGACAACATTGATGACTTCTCTGTGTGAGTACTGATAGAGTATGCTTTAGCCCACAGTTTGCCTCATCTGTGTCATTATATGCTGCATCACTGACATGTGTGAAGCTCTTTGGTGAATGATATGTGCAGTGTGTTTTGCTTTTTCTTTAAGTTAAATAGAGTGTATCAAGTTTTGTTTCAAGCTTGGTAAAACCACTTTTGTAATGTTCAGTATGATTTGGATAACATTAGAGAAGATCTTTCATCAAAAGCACATACATGCAGTTCAGTTGCTATTTTAAGATTCAGAGATGATTAAACTCCTATGAAAGACATAGAATAATCACCAAGAACATGTCGATCTTTTTTATTGCATTGGGGTTGCATGTCACAGATACATTCCCCAGGCCAAATAGTCACTAATATCACATACATGTTATGGTGCACATGGGAATATGGTTTAAACATATTTTAAGCAGCCTCACTAGTTTCATAGGTACCCCAAACTCTATCAGAATACTGCACAATACTCCCCTCCTAACTGAATAATAGGATTTCTTGAAGTCTATGACTAGCTGATGTACTGTCTCATTGTACTCCCATTTTTTCTCCAATATCTGCCAGATGCAATTGATCTGATCAGTAGTTGATCTCTTATGTCGAAACCCACACTGATGATCCGCAACAATTAATCTATGTATGGACTTAACCTTGAGAGAAGAATATTGGATAAACTTTTGTATGGCATTGATAGCAGTGATATCACCAGATAATTACTACAGTCAGTTTTATCACCCTTCTTGTGAACTGGTGCAGTAATAGACTCCTTCCACTGATGGGGCAATTTTGCCATATTCCAAATAGAATTAATTAGCTTATGGATCTTAGAACTTAATGTCAGCGTATCCTACTAAATTTTGTTCAGATGGTTTTGGTGTTGAAACATGTAGAAGGAGGCCCATGGACTGACATATTGACATGATTTTCCCATGAGCCTTTTTTAAAATTACCAAACCTTAAAAGTTATGTTCCCTTATTTATTATAGGATATAGAAACAGAATCGGATGACATGGAAGTCCAGCAAATTCCTGGTGCTTCTTCACAGCAGCAACAATTGCAACAACAGCAGCAGCAACAGGGCCAACAAGCTGTGGCATTAGTTTTGCCTAGAGTGGAGCAACAAACGTCCACGACACAAACTCAGACTCAGGTGCAGCTGATAGTAGAACAGTCTGTAGTTGTTGCCAGCAGCCAAGCCAACAGCAGTAACACTGTAACGACTACTCGGGCAGGAGTTAAACGTCAGAGGGATTCCAAAGGAGACAGCACAACTAGGACTGAGGAGAAGAACAGTGGATCATCTCAGGTACAATTGTCTGAACTTAGTTTATTAGCCAGGCAAGCATATCCTGTATTTTTAAAATCATTGTGATTCGCATATTTGCTTGTTACTGATTTTCCCCAATAGAGGCCTCATTAATGTGTGGGACCAAAAAAATATAAGCTTTAAATATAATCTTTACTGTGTACTTTTGGGCTGTTGTAGATGTCAACATTGTACAAGGTGTACAATAGGATGTGAGCTCTCAGATGCACAAAAAATGACACGCCTAGTTATAAATGGGCAATTGTTATTGTATGGAACTCAGTGCATGGAGACACTGAGCTCCACTTCCTCCCCTAATCTCTGTTCTGGAAGTAATGTTTTTTTTTATTGCTAGTGGTGTGGGACTAAGTCTCTTGTACTGCGGCCACTTCTGGCCTATTGTACCAGCCCCAGATGATAGGTGAGGGTGATTGTGAAGCAATTGGTGGAATGAAGATTGGCAGGGGAAACCAAAGTACTCGGAGAAAACCTGCCCCAGCGCCACTTTGTCCACCACATATCCCACTTGACCAGACCCGAGATCGAACCCAGGCCGCAACGGTGGGAAGCCAGCGACTAACTGCTTGAGCTATGGTGCGGCCAGAAGCAATTTTACTGCACATCTCAAGGCCATAGCTCATGTTTCACTGAACACTGAATGTATTGTACTGAGCTGTAGCTCAACTTTTAAAGTGGGGCCATGTAGTTTTTAGTACAAATGCAATAGAACTTGCATTTAATGTTATTTGTCATGCCATAGCTCAGGGTGTTGGTTGTTGCCTTGCCATCCCAGGTCAGGTCATGTGGGATCTGTGGTGGGCAAAGTGTCACTGGCACAGGTTTTCTCCAAGCATTTCGGTTTCCCATGCCAGTCCTCATTCCACCAAATGCTCTATGCCCATATATTTTGCAGGACTACTACAATAGGCCAACCTGTGGGCCTACACAGTCTGTTATAGGGATAGCTTTACATTTTTCTTTCCTTTTCTTTCTCATTTATATAACATGAAAAAGTATTGTGACTGTGAAGGAAATCAGTTTGAAGATACTGATGGCTTTACTTGTTTTTGGCCCCTCAGAATATGAAAAAGTGGTTTCAGTAATGCTGTCTGCCTATAGGCACATGTGTAAGTACACCTCGCTAGTGCTTTAATGTATGCAAATGATGTTTTATATGCAGTCTGTGCCAGAGCTATGTAGCGAGGACCATCAGGAAAAGGCAGTGAGTTGGAAATCGACAGTCATGAGTTAGAGTTCAGCGTCAGTGGTTAGCAGCTGTTAGGTAGGAACGACTAGCGATGACAGAATAACAAACAGAAGACTTTGTGTGCAATGTAATTATTGTGATTTAGAGAAAATGGAATTCATTGAGACTCTTGTAGTTACTTGCAAGCTATAAGTGTTCAATAACTCCAGTCATGAATCCAAACCCTGTGTGTAGTCACATGTGACAGTATTTTTAAAGTTGAGATTTTAGGCTCTTACAGCAGTGAGTCTGCCTAGGATGTACTGGATAGCTAACTTTTCGAAGCTTTTCAACTTACATTGTAGTTATATCATGATTCTGTTTGAAGTACCAAACGGCTAAGTCACTTGCAAAGCGGTGAACAGTTGTTTAAGCTTTGGCTAGGTACAGTCAGTTCAGTTCAGTGCCCTTTCAAATATTCAAGCTTCTCAGACTAGACCCAAAAAACATCCCTCCTGGAGACCTCTGATGTTGAGAGCTATACAAAGAAGCACTATGTACAGTTCTTTGTTCAGTGTTTCCAAAACTGTTTCTGTGCATTAAAGGTAAAGTTAGCTGTAGGTTCAGTTAATTGAGCGCAGTGCAATAAAGACATATGGAGGAATGGAGATATTGCTTCACCATTTTTATCTTGGCACTAGATGGATGTGAGTGGTCAGTGCCTTGACTGTTTTAACCCTGGTCCCTTTGAATAGGAGGAAGTTTAGGCCCAAGAACTGTTCTAGACTCTATAGACAAAAATCTCTTGCCCTTTCTGGGAATTGAACCCCAGTTCCTTGGATGCCCAGCTCTTAATGTAGTCATACTGATTGAGCTATCCTGGCTCCATCACTTGATATACTGGTATATAAATTATTTGTTATTTGTACGTAGGTAAAGCGACCTCGAGCACAGGAAATGTTCCAGCCAGTGCCATCTGAGTCAGGTGTCGATGTGGAATATCAGGTGCCAACTTCATCACAGAGGGACCATGAGGATGAAGTAATTGTAGTTGACTCCGAAGATGATGATGACGATGATGATGGCATTGCAGATGAAGGAGTAAGTAAAGAAAGTTAATTTTCAAATTGTTGTTTTGTGGTTTAATCTAATATGTTTGATTACAGAAAGTAGAAGACAGAGTTTTTTAAGATACTGTATTTATCCAGAACTAAATAACTTCAAATCTACCACCATTCTGTAAATTAGAAACTTAAAATGCCAAAGGAGAAACTAAAGATAGTATTTTATTTAGTGAAAAGTTACAATAATATATTTTTGTGTAACTGCATATTTATTTACTTTCTGTACATAATTAATTTAGAATGTGTTTGACACTGGCACAAACAGTTTAAATGCTCCCCACATTTTTTAAAATCGGAGTTTTTAGGTGAAACTCTATGCATTCTTCTTTTGCGCTGAATGGAGTTAAGTTGTCAGCTTCTCAACTTATCCAGTTCAACCCTGGGAAAGAGTCTCTGATATTCATAGTGGCATAATACTTCTTTTATCATAAACTTGTACATAATTTATGTGGACACAGATACACAGATGGTGTAGATTCATTTTGATCTAGAAGGCAAGAGGGTTACTCTCTGGCATTATCTGAATACAGTATTAGCGACAATATAAAAACAGTATGCAACCATGAAGTAAGTTATGACTGTGTACTACTGTCTTAATTCATTTTGTGCTCTCTAATGCAGTGCTCCTGTTTCAGTTTGCCTTGTTCTCATAACTTTTTGAGAGGGGTTGTACGATGTGTTACTCATATTATTTGTCACTTGCTTGATTTTGTGGTCCTCATGAACTATTTATTGATGTTGGATATTTTCTTAGTGATTTGAAGCAAAGCCTGCTTTCTGGATGGTAAGGTTAGAAGGGTGTCTTGTCTTGATATAGTATATTGAATGTCCATGTTTGAGGGATTGTATAGTGGTTAGGGTTTGCAACTGATAACAGACAATAAATCCATACTGATATTTCATGAGATGGTAACACAGTATGCTGATAGAGCACCGCATGTCCTGGCTGCTGGTGGTACTAATTCTGCTAGTAAGTGGATCTGCCGACAGTAGCCTGTCATCATATGTCATCTTCAAATAAAATGCTTATTTAGAAGAGGTCCTTAAAACTTGTATTTTGTAGTTTCTTATATTGGATGTTAGGTAACGCTGTCAAATATGATGGGTTGGGATTATGTGAAGCTTCTAATATTATATATATATTATTTCAAATATAATTGTTATTATGCATGTGCAAGAGTGACTTTTCAGTTTGGAAGGGGATTGAGATAAAAATTTGGAAACAATTTTAAGAATCAAGATGAAAATGAGAATTTTCTATAGCAGAATAGTGTTTTCCCCTCCCACTATAATAAGAATCAGTAACTCTAGCTGCTTTTTACAGTGCACGGAAGTGTATTAGCAACTGTCGGATGGCCCTGCTTTAGGAAATACATCTGCAGAGAGAAAGTAATTTGATGATTTCATTTTATAGTGTTACTAAAAAAACATGTGAAAGAAAGTAAATATTAGAAAATACAATATACGTGATACGTACTGAGTTAATTCCCATCTTCTGTCTCAAATTCACTACTCTCGTTTTCATATTTGTTGGCAGCATTCCGTCTTCCTCCCTTTCGTCCATTTCGTCAGTGAATGGAAGTTTTGAAAAAGTTTTGCCCATCACTTCTGATCCATTGGCACAGCAGTTCTGTGCTGGACTCTTGTCCTTATGGTATCATAATATGGTCCCCTGCCAAGAGCCATTCAGATTGCAGTTGTTTCAAGTGATTCTTGAAAGGCTTAATCACTAGAACACATAGTTGTGAAGTTACCTCTCCAGATGTGACACGCTGCATGAATCACAGATCTGAAATCTAATTTTAAATGACCTTTAAATGCATCAAACACATGCATTCCTTGTTTTCTCAACAGTGCTCATAGTCTCCTGTTCTGGACACCTTGCAACCAGTGCTCATCAGTTCATTGAGTGATCATCTCTCACCCAATTATTAGTCCCACAGGCATAGTCTTTTCAATGTCAGATATGTAGGCTTTGAGATGTTTTGTGGGTAATTACATGCTTTCTGTCCACTGTGTTAGCATGACAGTCACTTTCATATTTTCAGTACCTGATTCCTTTATAACAACAGAATTTACACCTGGATCGTCGATGGCGTAACCGGATAGCATATTGAAATTCACTGGCATTTCATTGTCATTGCCTTGAAGTGTGATGGTAACATCTTTGCAAAGTGAAGTTGTTTGCCATAAAGAAAATTTGTAACACATCATCATTTGTACACACCACCATGTGGTGGACTTAAATTTCTGCTGCTCATGGAATTTTAACAATGTTCCATAAAATTGATGTTTGTTCTTGTTTCAAAATGACAGTACACTTGGTCGTTAACTTACGACCACAAAAGAATTAAAAATAAAAGATGATTAAAATGTCAAAGTTTTTAAAAATAAATTATAAATATGATAAAAAGATTAGAAAGGTTAAAAAGATACTGTTAATAAATATATGGCCGACATACGACCAGATCGACATATGACCTGTCAGTCAGTATGGAAGTCGGTCGTAAGTCGATAACCAAGTGTATCTGGATATAATTGGCATACTTCCCTGTTCCTTTTGTTTTCACCTTCATATATTTGCACAGGAGACTCTTCTGTTCTTGCTATTTCACCCTTGTTTTTTCTATATTCTCACATATTTAGGGGTATCTGTGACTTATAGTTGGTGCATGGATTGGATATTGGATTTATTGACCACATATATGCACCACTTGGAACTACACTTTACAGATCACTGACACACACAGATTAGTGTCCTCAGTCAATTACAGTCTCCACTAGCTGTTTCCTAGCAATGGCTTCGGACACAGTGAGGATTCTTCAACTTCCTGCACTCAGGTTCTCTTGTCACAGCCACCCGTGCAGAACCCTTGCCAGCTCATAACTAACTGGGTCCCAGGCTGGCGGCCATTTTACACCAACCTTATAGCCTCCTCTTCACAGCCTGACTTTCAACTGAACTGAACTCTCTTACCAACCAGCTAATTCACGTCACTTCACTCAACTTAACTACTGACAACTGACTGCAGCTCAGCTGGTGTCCTTGTCATATACCCTCGGAGGAGACCAAATGGGAAACACTGCCTCCAGCAATCCTTCTGTTGTTGTCATGGGTGACTGCCTAGTGATGGACTGGCTATTATTTCTGCAGGAACATGTTTACCAAGCTGTTGCTTAGGCCCCCCCATACACACACAGTTTGGCTTTCTGATCTACCTTACAGGCAAAACTTTCACAGTTTACCCTCACCCTTTCCTTCCCCATACACGCACAGATCAACCGGCAGGCTGCATGCCACAGTCACGGTCTTCCAGCCTGTATTGCTGAGGCACACACGTCACGTGCTACGTCCTGCAGGTAGAACTGATGGACTGATGGGTTTCCTACAGTCCAAACGATTGGCCGGCCCGCCACACCACACATATCAGTTTGCCTTTCAGTCTTCAACTGTGCAGGCTGAACGGGAGGCCAAACTGTGTGTGTATGGGGGCCCTTAGAAACAAGTGTTTGTTTATCCGCCTGTTGCATAGCAATGGCTGTGCTCGTTTGTTTTGAAGCCTCTGCCCAGCAATGGGTCAGTACGCCGCAATATGTTTAATCGCCATAATTTTAAAGTATAAATCATACCAAAATATGAAACAAAACCCATTGTCAATAACTGTTTTGACAGAAGATTACCACATTGTGAAGTCATGTGATCCAACTCATATAAACCCATCATTGTTACTGAGTGCTGCACAGTTATTTAAGTGTGATGCCATGTACTTCTATGGTGTTCTTAATCAGGCTGACCAAGATCTGGTCCTGGCAACACCAGAATATGTTGAACTTTTACAGTGTGTGAGTCATGTCTGCTGTTTTGCTGGAGGAAACTAAACTTTTGTAACTAAGAAGATGTGAATAGCGTTTTTTGGGACCATCTACACAACAGTCATAAAAGGGTAAAGCTATCCCACTAACAGGCCATAGAGGCCTTTAGGTTTGTAAGATGTCAAGGCTCCCAAATTTTCTAGACAGTCAGCTCACAGATGGCACTGAGGTTGTCAGACTTATGTGCCGGCTGCTCTTTACCCCCAGGAAGATTCCTGGTACTTCTTTGTGTTAGAGGCTTGAGTCAACCGTAGGGCCACAATGCAGCTGGAAGGATTAGGTAAACTGAAAAAATCCATTGACCTCACTGAGACTCGAACCTGTGACCTTCCAGCTTGCAACGTAGTGCCTCAATCAATTATGCTACTGTGTGCCCCACACAACAGTTATATCAGTGAACAAATCAATACTGACATACTAGCATTCATTTCTTTTGCAAAGGCTATATCACAACAGGATGCATCCCATGAAGATAAAGAGACACTGATGATTCTGTATGCCCTTAACACGAGCTCCAGCTGTGGTTGTTGTGAACAGTGAGGTTGGCAAAGGAATGTAAATGTAATATTGAATATTTCAAATGAAAATACATTTCACTTCCAAAGCTGTCTGGACTATCTGCAGCAGAATTGTGAAGTCAGTGATAAGGATATTTAATATGAAAAGAAAAATTTCATTCATCCTTACAGGTGTAGAGTCTCTGAGATATTTTCTCATTGTAATACTAATAATTCTCTGCGCTCCGTAAACTGTGATTTTCCATGCCAGTTCCAAGAAATCCTCTTAGGTGCTTCTCCTATCCCATGTTCTGTTTGGGTGGAGGTTGTGGTAGTGTTCACATGAATTTATAGTGTTAGATATTGTACTTAGTTATGACTGTATTTCAAGGTAATTGAAGAACCTGATGATGGCCCTGAATTTGAGGAGGAAACAGACAATGGGGAGAGCTATGAGGTTGAAGGTTATGACAGAGATGAACAGGTATCTAATTCATTTCTGAATGTTTTTTGATGAAGGCACTTGATAGTTTTAATGTTTCAGGTCATTATACGAGGGTTGGAACTTTAATAGTGGGAACTATTTATTTACAAGTGATACAAAATCGATGCATGTTTTGAAGTTCTACTGTCCTTCAATGTAGTCACCAGCATTGTGTACAACAGTTGCCAGCGATATGGAAGTCGTAGGATACATTTAGCAGCGCCTGTTGTGTTGATAGTTCGAATGGAGCAGTCTACTGCCTGAAGAATCTCTGGAACAGTTCTGAAGCGAATGCCACGAAGTGGTTCCTTCATTTTAGGAATCAAGTCGAAGTCACAAGGGCTTAAGTCCAGGGAGTATGTTGGATGGTACAGCGCTTCACAGCCCCATTGATTGAAGAAATCAGCCACAGCTTGTCATTTCTGCCTTTCTGTCAAATCGTGTGGAACCCATCGTGATGCAATTTTTCTCATGCCCAGGCATTCCTTCAGAATGTGAAGCATAGTCGTATGTGCTAATCCTGTCTCTCGGGCCAGCTTACAAATCGTTTGGTGTCGATCACTGTCCAGTAACATGGAAAGAGCATACACTTCTTCTTCACTGATACAAGGATGACCTGGCCGACGCATGTCTGCCACATTTTGGCGTCCCTTGTTGAAGGCTTTTGCCCACCTTGCCACTGTTCTGTAAGGTAATGCAGATTCACCGCAAGCCTCTTGAAGACCTTGATGACACAGTCGTGCGGTACGGCCTCTGGCACATTCAATCTTTATCCAACTCCATTGTTCCTGTTTCGAAAACATCGTGACAACACTACATTAGACCGCTAGCTAACATGAGGCTCTGTTCTTCTTGTCACTGCGCATGCGTGTGATGTGGGAAGGGAGAGTCCATTTGCACTGAGGTAAGGTAGGTATGTAACTAACGTTTGGTATAAGCAACATTATTTGGTTCTGTTGCATGGCGTCTCTACAGCAGTGTTGCCACTATTAAAAGTTCCAACTCTCGTACATCATCTAGATTTTTACTTAAAATGTTACGTTTAGGAGACTGCTTCAGCTTCTGTCATCAGGTATGAGGGAACAATATTCTGAGGGATCTGTTAGAAGGAACTAGTTCATTCCTTCTAACAGACCCCTCAAATTGGGTTCACTTCTACTTGAATGCAGAATCAGTGTGAGTTTCTGAAACATGTCATTTTAAGAAAAGAAACCTTGATGATAGATGAGATGGAAGATATTAAAATTAGGTGTCTAATTGTTTAGAACTGTTGAATCTGTGTATGAAGTGTAGTGTCAAGTTAGAAAACTGTGGTTTAACAGTTCCTGGTAATGTCTCTTATGTTGCAGGACCTGACTGCATATGATGAAGGTGAAGGGCCTGACATAGATGAGGAGACTGCACCTGACCAAGCCAACAATGAAGTGGAAATCATGGGTAAGTGTTGACATCCTGGGTATCTGCTGGCAGACAGTTTATAATTACACAAGATGATAAGGTAAGAAAGGTAAAGTTGGCCTTTTGCTTAACTGATTAAGCATTACACATAAAAATGTATGGAGGAGTGGATATATAGATTCACACATTCTTGACCTTGGCACTTGTTAGAGGTGAGTATTCTATAAGTTGATAGGGGAGCAAATCGGGGTAAGCTGAGATTGATCAGGTGTGGAAAGGACTTCTTACATTGTATCTAGAAGTACAGTGCCTAAAGAATGGATTGTATTCCACTGAAATGGGTGTAACATCTTGATAAATACATTTGTGAGGTAAGTCTCTTGCTGTACTGTAATTGGTGGACAAACACAAGGAGTAGCAATTTGTAGCCTGTGGTTTTAAGATGACAGTTTGTGCTTATGTTCTTTGCACAAAGAGCATTAAATGAACACAGTGAGACAGTGGGAGGCCAATCCATCTGCTGCGCACTAAAAGTTGTTTTTTAAATTCAGATTTGATATGAATTGGTCCGGTGCAAACCTATGGTTTTTTTTTTATTTCTTTGGGTTGGTGAGAATGAGTCCACCTGGTACATTGGCCACTGTTTGGCCTGTTGTTCCAGCCCTGGATGATTGATGATGATGATAAGAGTGGGGCATTTGGTGGAATGAGAAATGGCAGGGGAAACTGAAGTACTCAGAGAAAACCTACCCAATGCCACTTTGTCCATGACAAATCACATATGACCTGACTTGGGATTGAACCAGGCTGCTGCTGAGGTGGGAAACCGACGGCTAACTGCCTGAGCTATGACACAGCCCAACATGTAATTTACACAGAGCTCAAATCAGACTCGCCAAAGATCAGTACATGATATAAAATGCAGATCTCCTTAAGGTCTACAAATTATATTTGGAACATTTTTTGGTGCAGTGTGTTCAGTGGAGTGAAAAAATAACATTTCATTCTTTGTATGATGTAATATCTGTTGTGCGATTGAAGCGGTGTTTTCTATATTTGCATAAAAGTGGAAAGAGATTATTCATCATTGTGAACCTGTACCATATGGATTTAAATCTCCCAGCATTGTGTTGGCAGTTGGGTTTAAACTTGGCAGTAATGAGATTCATATTGTGAACAATATTAGGTCTCCTGGGGCATGCTGAACCAGCACATTTGTGTGATGTACACTTGATAATGGTTTATAAGCTGATCACAGTATAAAGTGAAATGTTTGGAAGCCATATAATTGCCAGGTATTATCCATAATATTCAGTATTTACTTAATTGTAAAGGTAAAATGGTAAAGTTTCATCTGTGCTTAATCAAGCATTACACCATGAGGATGTGTCAGGGATTGGAGGTATAGCTCCATCATTCTTGATCTGGGCACTAGATGGAGGTGAGTGGTCAGCTTCACACCCTGGCCACTTTACCCCTGGGGAAGGAGCCCCTGTTACCCATTGGCCCCAGAGGCAGTCTGGATGCTGTGAAGAAGAGAAAAATGTCTTGCCCCTACATTAAACTTTTGACGTCCAACCAGTAGCCCATTGCCATACTGACTGAGCTATACTTGCTTCTATTTGCTTGACTTCACTGACATTATTATGTTGATGCTTTCCTGGCAGAGGACAGCAATGAGGTGCCGAACCAGTCTGGCAGCAGTATTATAGGAACAGTGGACAACAGTGCTGGTCAGTCTGCTACTGTGCCAGTAGCGTCCTCGGCAGAAGTACTTCATCCCCCACAACAGCAACACTCTGAGGCTACCAGCAGTGGATCAGCCACACAGCCTGAGAGTGGAAGCATCAGTTCAGTAGTCATGAGTCAGGCTTCGCCCTCGGTTCCAACCGGCTTTGCCAGAGGAAGGCACGTGCCTCCCCTCTGCAGGCAGCAACAGCATTTAGTATTAGTAAGTCAAGACCACAAAAATAAGCATAGAAATCATTATTATATTAAAGAGGACTATCTTCTGGGATGTAGCACTGTATAATCTGATGTTTTGGAGGAATGTACTCTCTCCATTTTCAGGATTAAGCCAAGGAACATAATACATTACTATACTGTTTGCCATACTCTGACCCTCAAGTTGGTAGCATTGCGCTCCTAAAGCATTGGTACACTACTTTGTAGGCACTGCCATAGAAATTCAAATCTCACATAGTATCGTGCTATTTGTCCTCAACAGAAAACTAAAATGACTATTGCTAGCTTATTGACTGACTGACCGCATGCAGCATGGTCCTTCTTGAGAAATGAATAGTGGCTTAGTTATTCAAGTGGTCCTTGTGTTTTATGGACTCTTAAGGCTTACTTATTAGCAGTGCTAATATGAAATTTATGGACTAAAGGTAATTCAATCAGTATACTGTATGAGACATTTGTAATGATTGAAAATGTATGTAGTTATAAAAGGATTTACAAATAATTGTACCCTCTCTGTGGCTCTGCAACCCTTAGGACCTTGGCTACTTTCTCACTTTCTTAATCCTATTCACAGGTGTTAGGATTCCTTGGATAGGGGATCAGTCTGTTACAAGGTCACTACCTACACAGAGAACAACACAAACAGAATAAACGTTCACAGACATCCATGCCTCAAGTGGGATTTGAACCCATGACCCCAGTGTTAGAGCGGGCAAAGACGGTTCATGCTTTAGACCATGTGGCCACTGTGGTTGGCCAAATAATTTTAGTGTCCATAATTTTCCATCTTTCTACCCTACCTGCCTCTTGTATCTGCAATAGCGGGAGGCACTTCGAGAGTTGTGTTACACTTCCAGTCTTAATTCATATTTTGATGCTGAGGTTTCTGTTGATCAGAATGACTGTACCGTTTGATGCTTGTGTTTCTTATTTTTCACTCCTGGAATAACAGACCAGTTAGAATGTCATCACTGTACTCTACACTGTAGGCTGCTCAATGATATTGTGACATGTTGGCTGTGTAGCGCGACAAATAACTTAATGCTGGTCTTGCATTTAGCAAATATGTTTATTGCATACTCGCTCTTACAATTACACATGTAAGTACAATTATTGTCACTTATAACTTCTTCACATTCACAATTCTTCTGTATTTCAACGCTGCTTGCAACTCTGTATGGACACTCCTGTGTTTCAACTGTACTCAATGACTGCTAGAATTGAACTGACTTGTCTGGTGCATTGAACCCCCTTACATAGGCCTCTCACGGACCACACAGAAAATAGCCTGTATTGTTGGATGTGTTTACCGACTGACTGCATAGCAGCAGTCGCTGCACGGACTCCACTGTTGCGTGATGTCACAGCATAGCGGGGAGGGGTGTTTACTGAGCGTTTCATAGTGATGGAATGAGTGGGGATATGTGACATCACTTGCAGAAACGCAGAGTTCACATGACCCCTACTTCCTGTTGCGCTATCCAAGCATTCACAGAGTTGTCACCTAGCAATGTGCTGATACAATCTGCAACTCTCCCATTGCTCGTGTTCCCTGAGGCCTCTCTGGCTCAACAGTTTCTGCATAGAGCAAATACGCCTCAATATATTATGAATTCCTCCAAACAGAAAATGAGATAAAACTTCTGAACTTCAAATTAACCCACATGTAGTCTGCTCATTACCTTTTTACCTTCAGATAAGGGTAAAGTTGTCCCTGTGCTTAATTGAGCACTGCACCATGAAGATGTATGGGGGAGTGAAGATATACAGTGAATCCTTCATTTAGTGTTCCTCAGTTTAACATTTTCCATAATTTAATGTTAAATTTAAATGACCTGAAGTCATGAAGTCAGTGTTAAATTAACTCCGTGTAATATTTTTGGCAGTTTATCGTTAAAATCAGCTGTTCCCAAAAAGAAATTTTAAATGAGTTTCACTATAAATTAATTGAGATGAGTTGAAATAAATGCTTCATTATTAGCCCAACATTTTTGTATGTGTAGAAAACATCAGTTGTCCAGTATGTACAGTACAGTAGAAGCTGTGATATGCAGTACCTCTGGGACCAGAGGGTTGCCAAAAATGGCCAAAAACTTTCCGGACATTATAACGTTATACTTAATGTGTATCTTAACTGTACCTTTCATCCTTGTGGAGAGGCATAACCATTTAATTTAGTACTTGATATCCTGTCCTGTTTTCCCTGCTGTACTTTCTCTTCCAATTTAATTACTACTTACATAATATGATATATAATCTTAAGAAAATGACAGGACACCAGTGTTTCACTCTTCTAATTATTATAAAAGGTAAAGTTGTCCCTGTAACAGGCCATGGAAGCCCATAGTCTTGTGAGAGTTTGAGGCTCCCACATCTTCTAGACAATTGGCTCACAGATGGTGGTAAGGTTGTTGGCCTTATGTGCTGGCCACCCTTTACCCCCACAGGAATATTCCTGATACTCATTTCTATTACAGGCTGAGTCAACCCCAGGGCCACAGTGCATCTGGAAGGATTAGGTAAATTAGAAGAATCCACCTCATCAGTACTTGAACCCACAACCTTCCAGCTTGTAGCATAGTGCCTCAACCAACTACACTACCCAATACCCCCTTTTTATCTTTATATTCACAGTTAAATTTTTTGCTAATAGAGCTCTCTGGTCATCCAGTGCTGGGTATCACAGCTTTTACTATATTTGGCTTTCATCCAGTGATAACTTCACAGCCATAAATGAATTGAATATCATCTACATGCTCCTCATATCCATTGGACAACTGTGGACTAATGGTGTTAATATTCAGCAGCATTAAATTAATAGGCTTCTGTTTGTTTATCTAGCAACCACCAAGTTATGAAGATGCAGGAGATGACAGCATTGTTCCCAGTACTCCCACGCTCTTTGTTCCAAGGCGTACAGATGGTTTTGGGGAGGCAGTCAGCTCTCCACAAGTCCCAACAGGAAGGTTTACCTTCTCTGATACGAACCCACCAACTGCCCGAGCAGGTTTGTCACCTCTATTATGTATACAATCTGCTGCATATGGGTAGTAATCATTTGGCTGCTTGACAGACTTGCTGTCTTATATGAAACCTCAAAGTTCATAACAGTGTTCACAATAACCCACCTCTCATCCCTACCATGAGTCATCCTTGTCCAGTCCACAAGGTTGTACCCTATTTAACACTTTGCGGACCGGTCGCATAATATTATGCTTTTCACTTTCAAATGTGGCAGACTGGTCGCATAATATTATGATGTTATATTTTAGCGTCTTGTTGCACTGATTTAAGTCCATGATTTATTTCAGCCGTCTTCCAGTGCATACACTCATCTATCTCCTCCTCTCACTCGCACTACATGTTTCGGCACAAAAGTGCCATCTTCAGGTGCTTATTCGATTTACGCTAAACTAGTTCATTGCATGCCTTGTCGTCTTCATATTAAAATAACTAAAATATATATTTATCATATATATTGATAAATGTTAAATGTTAAAAATAT